TATATATATATATACAGGTTCCAACATTCGCGAATCATAACAAGAATGTTCTTGAGAAAATATAAAAATATTTGCTATGTATTTGCCGCTCTGAGCAATAATTTAATTAAACATTAAAATTAAAAAGTCAATTATAGATTTCAGTTAAACATCGTTCGATTAAACAGTAATTTTGTGGAAGACGATAAAAGTTAAATACATACAGTTCGAGATAAAAATGTAAAGTAATAGTCAATCTAATTGTAATCTATAATTAGGTTTTAACGTTATTATAATGTCTGAAAAATATTGCTCGGAAGAAAATGGCAAATATTTTTATAACTTTTTTAAAACTTTTGTTATAGTATTTGATCTATATATTTTATAATTCCCTGTAGATATATACATACATATCATATTAAAAATTCTTAAGATAAAAAATTCAAAACTGTTATCACATATATGTTATTGAACATACGTTCAATATAATAATCCACATAATTATTTAGAATTTTTTATTATGGGTAAAACGTGTGATGAGATCTAATGCCCATTTCGGTTGATCCGAAGGAACCATATGACCTGCATTTCGTATGAGAACTTCTGTTAAATTGTCAACGCTTTTTGTATAGCCCGCTACTTTATTTCCAACCATCCATATTTTTCTTGATGCTTTCTTATACTTGTCTGCTCCGGACCATTGTAAATTTTTTAAATAATTTTCCGTGAGTGGATATGCCACGATAATATCTAATTGTCCATTGTAAATAAGTACTCTATAATGCTGCAGAAGATCTGTCAATAAAGGTATTATGGATTGCATGACGTCTTCTTTCAAATGTTCCTCAACAGTTTTGGTTTCAACATGAAAAGTGTTATTGCCCACGTGTATAGCATGTCTAACGTCAGCTCTTTGAATCCATTCAGACATCCAATCGGAATCATTGCCATCCTTCGTAAACAAATAGTTGAAATAATAATCAAAACCAGTTAAATTGTGAAATAGAGATGGCGTGCCATTTAGATCGCCATTAAGGAGTGTATCAAACATTTCAAATGCTTCGAGATATTTCTTCTGTTTAATAAATTCGCGACCCTTGTTTTCATATACTTGAAATTGAGTTTTCCCATCTTCATCTATCAGCCCGAGTTGATACAAATAATCGCTATATAGCAATTGATTCTCTGGATCACACAGTCCGTTACCAATGGAAAGGCCTTTTAAATTAATTTTTGTTTTTGCTTTGTTATTATAATTGTTAATGGTATAAGACACTGCTGGTACATATTTACCAGCATATGATTCACCAGTGACAAAGAAATCATTGTTTTGTAGCTCTGGGAATAACAAAAAGAATTGTACCAAAGCAATAAGAATATCTTTTCCTACTTGTGTTTCATTCTTTACATATCCTCTTTCATCATCAGTGAAACTATATCCAGTACCAACTGGGTTATCAATATATATTAAATTGTGTGCTATATTCCATGAATATTTTCGCATTGTTAAAGTTTTGTTAGCAGTAACTACAAATGGACCATTTTCCATAAAAAGACCAAACATAGAAGTTGCTCCTGGGCCACCTTGCAGCCATAATATTATTGGTGCAGTCTTTGGATTGTGCTGTGGCACACAAATAATGATTGTTTAATCTTGATTATAAACCAACTTAAATTGTAATGGAGTCATGAACTACCTAATCATACAATCTATACAATTTTTAATACCCGAAGAATTATGTGCATCATAAGTACTCGTAAAAAATATGTTAATAAGATTAAATGCAAATAAAATTTAAAAATATGGAAATTCTTATTGTGTTATATATATATATATATATATATATACTTGTAAAACGCTACGAATTAATTTCAACACCTAATACATATAACACTATATAATAAAAAAATTTTTTATGATAATCTAACTATCCTAGTAAATAAATTGTCAGCAATATGCTAACAAATTGATATCAAATGTGTTTGTATTAAGTGTGTTTTGCCGATAGAACTTTATGTAATTTGACATAATCAACAGAGTAGCAGAAACTGAGCGAATCCATTGAATGTAGAAATGGTATGAAATTTATAGCTTTCTTGAAACATAAATTCAGTCGTAGTTTAAATTTTACAGAAAATGTAGTGTTTTACAAAATCTGTAATTTTTCGACAGATATATATAAGGTTGTATAGATATAATCTCTTTTACAAGGGGATTATTAATCGTTACTTACCATGGCTGGAAAAAACCAGAAGAACAGATTAGAATTGTACGTTTTATTAACTGTGAGATAACCCGAGTAACTGTTAATATCGCCCATCTCTTTGTGTTGGACGAGAGCCTTTGCTCGCGCCTCTTCAATTTTTCCATTTTCTATTAAAGGCGTCAGGAAAAGCGGCGAACCAACATCCTCCTCATCGGTGAGTTGAAACTGCTTCAATTTAGGATATACATTCAAAAATCCACTTATACTTTCGTGCGGTAATACGAGCAATAATATGCTCAAAGTTAGCATAAGAACGCTGTACATATTGTTAATTCAATATTACAATCGGTACTGCCTGATATTGCCTTACTATACTGAGTACTGAGCTAACTGAATTCAATAAATGTATTTAATTGTAGCTTGTCCTGTTAATTATTGCTGTACCGATATAATTGTTTTGTTTTTATCAATGATATGACAAATGTATAAAAATAGGTTATAACACGTGACCATGTATTATGGAGTGCGTTCCAAAACTTGACCTGTCAACCCGAGTATCATTTTATCTTTGTTGTTTACTGAATGCAAACAAGGATAAAGGATAATTAACAGAGTTGAATTTTAAAACGTATCCAAGCATTTTTAAAGGTTCTTGCATGGGACTTGGGAGCATTGAGCTGAAGTTATAATATCGATGTTGTAATACTGGCGATATTATGAAACTGGCCAATCACAGTTATTCCCTTCTTCAGAAAAATACGATTGGCTAGATTCATCGATAACTCGGCGAAAATCGGACCGTATAATGAATATCATACAGAATGCACCTGTAATATATTTTGTACTGATTATATAGGTGAATAGTAAATTATTCAGACTTAAGTATTATTTAATTGTAAGAGATTCATTCATGTAAATGATTTAAATGACAACGGTCGGATTGAGATAGCAAAATAATATAACATAAGGCTAACTATAGGCCTATTTTTTTAGCTGAACTTTTGCACTAGTCCAGTTTTTTCCTTTTCTCTTCAGGAGAAAAGAAGAAGAAGAAAGATGAATCGATGCAAAAGTTCAGACCTACCAAAAAGAACAGACCTATAGTTTTATACACAAATGATGATGTTTTATACATCAAAAGAGAAACAACGTTTTTAACCAATCAATATACTGTTTTATTGGAAATAATACTATGTATATAGAAGATGATTGGTCAATTCGCTTGTTACTTATATGCAGTGTGTAAAACTGTAGCGCGGCATTTGCTGCTTGCTATACTATCAGCTGATCAACTTAACTACACCAAGGCAGTTGAAAGCAATACATTCCCTTCGCATTTGAGTTTTAAATCTGTAGAAACCGCATTGGCGATCGCACGACAAGGTTAGCGTACCATGTACTACATATATATAATATATATATATATATAAAATTTCGGTTCTAGTTGAGTAATTACTATTGTGCGTCGTAAATTTATATAGATTCTTCATTAGAACTGTAATATTAATAATTTGTTGTCTTTTTATCATGATATAATAATAGTCATACAAAATTTCTTGGTTATTAATTATTAAATTGTGCAAAATATAAGATTCTCTATTAAATGTCAAAAACATTAATTTTATGTATTTTTTTTTTTTTACAGTTGCTGTGATATGTTTATTGTAGACATCAAGTCAGACATTTACGTACGACTACATACGGATATTCAAAATGAATGATTCTTTCTTGGAAGAGTTAGAACTAATACCAAAAGAATCAAAAAAGACACCTCAGCAACCGGATCGCCATGTAACTACCAGGCATGCTACTTCATCTCCATTAACTCATTTCTTAGAACAAAATGAGAGAGATGATATTATGCGACAGAAGGAACATTTTACGATAACAATTCCAAGTACACCTGATATAAAAATCATAGATAGTAAAGAATCTTCTTCACAAAATTTCAAAAAACAATCTGATCAAAATGTGAAAAAACATTCTGTGAATGTAAAAGCATCAGAGAAAACGGAGAAGATTGCAGACAACAAAAGAAAGTCTTCGGATATGAAAATAAAAATGAGCAATAGTAATCAGCAGAGTATTAATGGAGAACAGAAAATAAAACTTCACGAGGCAAAATATTCTAAAGCACCTGAAAACAAAGATCGTAAACGACGTTCAGGATCATATAAAGAAATTACTTATACTTTCTCTAAAGAGAATAAACGTTCTCTTGATTCTTCTATTAATAATTCTTCAGATACTTCTAGTAAGGAAAATAGTCGTCCCTCTGATTCTTCTAAGGAGGCTGGTCCTCATAATTCAATTAAAGAGAAGGAAAAGTTAACTGATAAATTGAGGAAATCAGGTGTGAAAATACAAGATCCAGATCCAGTTATTTTACTTACTGCTATTAAAGAAGTGATAAGCACATATACCAAGCAAGAAAGCACAAAAATTCTACGTGCTATGCAGGAGCTACATATAAACTCTCAAGCTACCTTGATAAAAAATCTCTTGAACCAGACAGATGATCTGGTTAAAGAAATGCATCCCAGCAAAGAGTCAGCTAGAATGAAAGCATTGATTGATGAGAATGAGCAATTACATCAGGAATTAATGACTTTGCGAATGCGAAACGAAAGTTTACAGAATAAATTAGAAGAACTTGAATTTTTGAGACAAGAAAATGCGACTTTGAAATTAAAGTATAACGAGCTAACTCAGACATAATATACAATTGCGTTAAATATTGGACCACGAAATATTTTGTTTTTTGCACAAAGTGCTAATTAGGACATTTATTTTAATTGCTTGACATTTTAAAAGATATATAGTAAAATTGAGAAACATATTTTTTGCACGAAAACTGCCATAAGAGATTACACTTACTAAACTACTAATATTTGCATTTATTTTTATCTAATGCCGTGGTAATATAATGATATAAAGAATATTTAAGTATTAATACACATAGAAATAAACGTATTGACTTATTAAAATATCGACGACATTATATATCATTAAAATAATCTATTTTTTTACAAAAATGTTAGATATTAATGTTTAGATGTATGCGCATTATTTTAAAAGTTTATCCTATAATAAAGATTTTATAACATTAATAAATAGGTTTATATTTACTTACAAAATGATTTTTATGTTTCAAATTCCATAATTCCTTGTATCAAAATTAATAGGATATAATTTTATTCTTATGCTGGAATATTTTACATGGTAAATTAATTTGAAATAAATAGAATTATTTGATTCATCAAATATTAATAAAGTTTTTAGGATCTTAAAAGGTATTTTTAGAAAAGAAAAAATATATATAATAATATATATGTATTGTATATATATATATGGAAATAATATCTTAATAATTTGTATCAATGAGTTGCTATATTTTCATATACACGTACATATTGTTTATATACAATATAAACACTTTCTTGCGATGATACATTTCTCATGAAATACTTAAAGTGTGAATATCTTTGGCAAATTAGCCAAATTGCAAAGCTGTATGCATTCGCAACTAAAAATACGTATAAAAATGATTGAGAAATCATCAATTCATCATCAATAGCTTACAAATAACTTAATTTTAAAGTCTTAAATGCACAATCTAAAAATATGCGTATACTAGTATTTCACTAAGCACACAAATTTCAACGATAATGGCATTTTAAAATAATTGCACTGTTTATTGATAGATAAATTTATTTTAAAAAATTTTTAATGCCAACATTTTGCAAATATTTTGCGTTTAATTAATTTGTTTGAACAAAATTTCTAGCTCATAAATACAAATACACTGTAAAATCTGTCGGAAATAGACTTACATTGACAAAATGTGAACGTAAGTCTAACAAAATCTATTAATAAAATATTTATTGCATAAATCAAATCCATGCCATATCATTATCATATATTAAATTTAAGTAATATATTAAATTTATATATTAATTATATATGTATATAAAACACATATGCATATATATAATTCGATGTTATAGTATTGTATTTGCAAACTTTTTTTACCATATTTTTTATTATTGATAGAAATTATTCATTTATATTACAATAATAATTATCTTTATATATATATATATTCTTAACATGTTTATATTTTGATAAAAATATTTGCATCGCATAACCTTGGTCAGGCATTTAATTTTTCAGCAAAATCTGTTAATTGAGCTCTTTTCAATTTTTCTGACAAGTTTAGCAATTTTTTAAAATAACGATCGATCAAATAAAAATATGAATAAATATTCGCGAAAGATAAATATGCGAACACACTCACATGCACACATATATATAAACGTAAATCATCATTGGGCAAAAATTCGAAATTGTTCTTCAAGCTTGATGTGTTCAATTTTTTCGTCCAATTCTTTGGATATTCCCGGTAAAAAAAATTTGTCGTAAAAATGTATAAAGTTATACAAATTATAGAGGTATATATAATGATATTACATTTTTTCCCGAGATGCTAAAGTTATTTTTCTGAATATATTTCAATTATTCTTATTTCAATTATCTTTCCCCTATAATATATGGATAAAAATTACACAAAAGGATGAAGACATTTTCTATATGGGCATTTTTATGTATAATTTATATATAATCTATTTATTTATATTTGTGTATATTTTTATACTGAAAAATTTTTTATCGAGTTAATCCGAAGAATTGGATGTTCATTCATATTTTCTAATAATTTTAGAAGTGATTTTAAAAACGATTTTCATTATAAATATTGTCTTATTCATCCTGAAAGAAAAATTATTTTAAGGAATTCATTTAAGATAAGATTTCCTGTATTACGTAGAAACCTATTGCACAATACACATACAAATCATTAATTAATAAGAACTGATATTTTCTGTATTCAGTCACGAGTCGATGATTCTGCTTGTCTTCTTCTTTCTTCTGATATTTCTTCTCCCTCTTCATATTGATCTTCATTATCAGTTCGTTCTCCTTCTTCAGGCGGTCTCGTCCACCTAATAAAACGATTTTTGCAATCATATTTATTAAAAAATGAGTTTTCTCTTTATGTCTGTTTTAATTCATATTTGTGAATTAATTCTTCTCTGTTACTTTATGTTTATGCTATTGTCATGTTTAGGTGTGTGTACTTTTATCCGTGTGTATGTCTTAATCAAATAAGTATGAGAATATAGTCAAACAAATCTTATATAAGTATAAAATATAAAATTGAATGAAAATATAAAATTTTTATCTATATATTTTATTGTTAATCATAGATCATTGCTCGTTAATTGCAACTTTTGTTTACAGTTTACTATTAGATTTTCGTATCAAATCTTTATCGTGAAGCCTTAGCTAATTATGATTTTATATACATATAGATATAAAATTGCAAAATTTTAATATCTATTATAATCTAAAAATGGTGCAAAATCTAACCTGATTAATGTTTCCGGTGATCTGTAGAGGAAGATCAATTTGGCAAACAAGTCTTCTTCGAGACATAAATCGCCGCTCTCGCGGACCAAGTAAATATCTAAGCAAAGACGAAGGATTCTGTCGACGTAGGGTAAATCATCGAACATAATCTTGGGCGCCATATCACTGACGATTTTCCGCATCATTTGACTTATAACTATCACCGCTGTAGTATACAATCCTATGATCCTGTTCATAATTATGTAATTTTTAATCAATGAATTGTAATAACGATTTCATAAAATCATTATAGTTTTACAAAGAATTCTTCATAAAACTCTTTGTCATAAGTATGTCTATGAAAGTCAACTATTTTACTATTAATTTACCCAAATCCGCTGATGAAGCTTAAGCTCTCGGGGAATGCCTTGTCGTTGAATAGGAACATCATGATATAGTTGCAATCATTTAGTGGTATTTGGCTAAAAAAATCGGAGCCTGTGCATGCTTCACGAACTATCCACCATTGTTTATGATCACAACATGTCATGTCCGTTGATAATCGGATACTCATATTTCTGTAAAGGTACCTGTCATCTGTGTCAGATTGACCTACTACTAGAAACATATATTATAAATAATAAAAAACATATATTATAAATATATTATAAATAATTATCTTATTTTTCTATAATTCTTATGTTTTTTATATGTTGCTTAATAACGTTCAATATGCTTACGTAAACGTAGTGGTTCCATTAATTGTGTAACAACACCAATGGTTCTAGCAGTGACTTTCAAAAATTTCGGAAAGGCATTTTGTAATATTACTGTCGCATTTGTTGCACCAGGATCCTTACTTAACATGTCCACTAATGTTTGTCTTACAGGATTAAACTCTCCGTTTACGTACGCTGGCAATGTTATGTTACGATCTGTTACAGTGATTCCACTGGCATCTTTGATATCTGTTTTCCTTGAAACTGCCCATTCCACGTGTACACTTATTGTTGTGGTATTAGAGGCCAGTTCTGCTATCAATCTGAAAAAGATGATAATATAATAAATATATTTGTTTTTAATGTATTTCTGTAACATGAAACTCTTATACCACCTGACATTTTTAATTTTTTTTTAGAAGAATGGTATCTGTATGATGCTTTTTTATTAATTTTTTATTAATCAGGTTTTGTTAGTTATATACATTTTTATTAGTTATATAAACCAATATGCATGTATCAGTTATTTTCAGATTTTAAGTGTATTAATAATCTTTTTCATAACTTACCTTTCTTTATCAGGTGGGGAAATACCCCAAAGTGTTCCTGAGGAATTGCTAAATTTTACTGCAGCCACATCAGAATAGACGTAATTTTCAAAGAAAGTAACAGCTGACTTCTCTGTTGAATATACTTGTAAATTTGTAAGAGTTTTGTAGTCCGTTTCCGTATATTCGATGATAGAACTGCCTTGTGCCGACATGGAATAGATGGGTTCGTATGGACCGATTCGTACTTTCAAGGATACATCATAAGGTAAATTGGACGCACCAACGGTACTACCAAGGGCAAAGAGAAGCAAAGGGAACCAGATTAAACCAATAATGAGTAAAAGAACACTTCCGCCAACCAAGTACTTGCTCATTTGTTTTTTCTTTATTCCTCGTGGTTGAGGGTAGTCTGATTCGACTCCTCGCATACACTAGAATTTTATAAAATAATATACTTATTATAATTTTTATGTATTATCTATTTGGCGCATGTTATGTAATTTAATATTTCTATGCTAAAATAAGTCAATTACATATCTTCTCATATAAAATTTATATGAAAATTTTTAATAAATATTTTTAAGAGAATTGAAAAAAATTATTCCAAAAGCATTATATATTTCCTATAAAACTCACTTTGATTTGATAAATACTAGCAAAGACATCTTCCATCTTAAACCAATCCATTATAGTCATGGATGTGTCAGTCCAAATCCAATCCATCACTGCCCGAAGTTCAAAAAGGAATGGGACTAACATAAATCTATAAAATAACTTACTTAGGTCAATATAATAAAAATAATAAAAATATTTAATAAACATTTCACTAACCCTTTAAATAGAGCATAATTCACAACGCTGTACTTCTTGCACAGAAAATTACCCAATATTCGAGTCGGATATCCTTGTCGCAATTGATAAGCTGCTAGTAAAAGATAGAAGCATTTCACCATGTACCAGATTTGTGGTGGAAGTTTATCATTAAATTGTCTGTAATTATAAATATATATAATATTATATATGATGTATAAATGTCAAAAAGAAAAAATAATGTACGATATTTTACCTTTCTGTCACGCTCGGTAAAATGAAGAACATCCATAGATGAACACCAAGTACTAAGCAATACTGGAAAATTAATTTTCCCATAATAGATTTTTTTAGAAAAAGAGCTCTATCGATAACAATTAGAGCAAATTGTAATAATAACATTAATAGGAAAGGCATAGGAACTCGATTTTCTTGTAAATAAGCCGCTACACCGCCATCACCTTGCTGAGTCTAAAATTATAGAATACATATAATGTTAATGTATCATCCTTTATGTAAACAAATAATATTTATATGAATATTAATAATAATTTCATTGAGCCGCTTTCCCTTTCTTTTTATATACTTACTCCAAATGCAGAAAATCCGAAAATAAGCAGAAGAAAATTAAAGAAATCACAAAGGAACATATAGGCGTAAACATTCGTTTTTTCTTTGCTAGCTGGATCAATAATTTTCTTAAAAAAATTTTTTATTGGTTTAATGTGTTTAGTAACTCTGCAAAATTCAACAATATAATTTAACGAATTAAATTAATAAGACTTGCATAAAGCATGCTTAAATAAAACAATTACTTACGCTGTATTCATCGTTTCAGAAAACATTTTACTGTGAGGATCTTCTTCTTGCACAGCTACAAGCTTCTTGTTCTCATCTGTTACGGATGGAACATTATCATTTAATACATAGTCGTTCAAAGATTGTTTTTGAGATTCTTTTACTTCTTCGTGAGAACTACAACGTATTAAAAAATAAATGTCATATATTTATTGACATCAAAATTTTAGATATACAAATGTTTAGACATTTTTTCGAAAGATTCTAACGTACTCGATTTCTTGTTGTATGTCTAGTTCTTCTTGTTCTTTGTCTGAAAATGATGGTTTTGTCTGCACTGCAGGTAACTGAGAAGGAATTATTTTTCGTGGAGATGCAGCTGTCCATTGACCCAAGGATTTCAGCATAAGTCTATAGACCAATCATAAGTATTATTCTTTATAAAATATTGTTATATACGTTATTATTATTGTTTTTTTTAAATTTATACCTATGGAAGAATAGTATAAGGAGCAATAATAAATCCCATAGAGCATAATTGGAATCTTTTAAAATACCAATAATTCTCGGTTCATATAGTGGATGGCTTATTGGAGCCTTTTGATTCCAAGGAATCAATTCCAGTTGGAAAATACATTTTATTATGACAATGGCCTAAAAATTGGAATACTTACATCGAGGTTCTATATAATATATATTTAGAAATAAATTATGAGATATATTTTTTACCTCGACATATGCGATCATTGTTATCCAGAACGTTTTTGAAGGTCGTGGGATTGTTAAAGAACCCCATAAGAATACCATAAGTGGCAATGGTGTCGAGAGTACTGATGCGTTCTTAATTTGATGTATAAACACCATAAAATAACAAAGTATACTAGAATGCGCCAAAATTCCAAACCAGATAGACGCTGCCAATTGTACAATGGGAGGTTGATCCACTTCTGAAAGTTCTCCAATTTCTTCTTCTTGTTCTGCCAAGGCTTGCGAGAAAAGTGTGCTGTTTACATAAAATCTTCAAGTTAATTATATTTTGTAATTAAAATAAACTATTCAACATAAATTTACATAGAAGAAAGATGATCTAGTTGTGTTAAATGTATATACATAACAAATAAAAATTATTTAATGTATAAAAATTCACATATAAAATAAAAATAGATATAAATATACAAAATTGTTACTTAAATAGAAAAGTTTAGAAAAGTAATTTCTGAATACATAAAAAGGAATTATTTTAGATATCAAAACTGAATAGTAATAAAGAACAGAGATACATCTTTCTTTTTAGATAAATTGATATCAAAAGCACATTTAAAGCCCAGTTCAGGAACCATGAAATCTGAACCGTGAAACCTGAAAATGGAACTAAAGATATTCGACAATATTAATGTATTTGCTACAGTGGACGTTATTTCGTCGTTTACTGTGTATAATAATCAAAGAGACACGCAAGTTGTACATTGCGCAAGTCAATTTTTTTGCTCTTTTCGTGTCAGGAAGTGATCCTTTTTGCCACAAAACGAAGTAGAGGTGGCAGTCAATTATTAGATATAAAAGGATCTTATCTGACGTGCCGCATGCGAGGAGAGGCGTGCGAGAAGTGCATTTATAAAATAGTAAAAAGATCAAGCACATTGAGATGCTTGGGTTTCACGACACACTTTTGATACCTGGAGGAGGACATGTCCAATCCTCGCTCCAAACTCGGCGCCAGAATTCGGATGTGCGGCACTGCCAGCGAACTCCTCTTCCTGACACAAACAACACCGAGAGTAAAGAATTTTAATCATAATTTTAAAACATTATATTATTAATTCTACTATTCAGAAAAAAGATAAGAAAAAAGATAATAATAAAAGATAAATTTGAAAGAAAAATTATATTAAAACAAATTATAAAAAAACATGAAAAATATATATTATAGAATCAAGTGATCTAGTTATAATTAAAAAATTTGTTGTTTTTTACAATAGTCATATGTCACGTAAAACTTACGGCAATTGATCTGACCCTTCAATCATGAAACGATTTTTATGCCACGCAAATAGCTTATGCTATTATTTCGAAGGACCTTTATTTCAGTTACCTAATTTTTTTTTACCAACAAGGCTCAAATCTTTTCATCAGATTAATACTTGTTGATCGAGTTCATATAAGATCATGTCAAATATAATACAATAAAAATTTTTAAGTGTCCTAATCCTGTTGGATTTTGATTTATTAAACAAATTTGGAAATTTTATTTTTATTATAAACAAAAGATTCATAATTTAAGAAATAGCAAAATATAAAACTGAATTTTATTTCAACAAGTATAATATATAGCTTAAATATTTCTTTTTTTCTAATTAGACTTAAAAATAAACTTGTATATATTCTCTATATCATTTAATTAATATTATAAATAATAAAGCAATTTGAAAAGCAAAAACAATTATTTTATCTTAATAACAAGTTATTTTCATAAATTACAATATAAATAATTATTATAGAGATGAAATTCGATATTAGTTTGGTGTAATAAATGTACAAGAATCACATTTGCTAAGTGCACAATAAATTAAACACATGATACATTTACAAAATATCTATCAAAGCAATTCACACAAAATAAAAGCCCTTACCTATCATCTTGCGGTTGTGGTTGGCTCGGACCTTCTCCAGGATCATACTGCTCCTCCATATTGCCATTTGTAGCAGATCTGTTACAGCGAGCACATTTACTACTAGCATCTACGTATTTTCATTTTAGTTTCAAGTTTGGAAACCGCTAAAATTATTTTTTATACTTACACACATTCTTTAAAAATTATATTTCAGATTTCTTAAAAATTTATTATCGCGGGTTATATGGAAAAAGCATAAGTTATAATTATATTTTTGACGCCAACTAATTTTAAAGTATGCTTTGCAACATTGAATAACAAAAATGTAATTCTTTACTGCATTTTTAAATAATACATTTAGTTATAAAAACAAATATTAAATTATCCAATAGTTAGATAATTTATACGTTACACATATGCGGTAAAGCATTTATAAAAAAAAATAAAAAAATAAAAAAAAATTAAATTAAAGTAAAAAAATTATGTTGCACAATGTATTTACATAAGAGTTCGGCATCTTGTAAAAGATATTTGAATAAACATATACATAAAACATATACATAAAAATAGCAGCAATACAAAATAGAAATAATTTAAGCAACTACATTATATTTACAAGTTAATGTTTGAAAAGCCAGAATAGCACAAAAAATTGAATAATACTCCTAATATATAATTTTATAACTAAATAATTAACAATATAAATTTTCCTAAAAAAGGTAACTCCAAAATTTTTTTAATAGTAATTAAATATACAGTTTCTCAATTTTATTAAACAAACATAATATGTTTTATTTTAGTGTTATGATTATATAAAAGTTTTTATAGAGAGTAAATTCTTACCGTTCCTGTATGAGAGGCTGCCACATTTGATTAATTCCTAATCGCATTCCCATTCGAAAATCTGGTTTCGCCTAAATATAATCATCAAGTATTAAACAAATATTACAGTATGTTTTTTATTTGTAAATTAACTTCAATTTTTAAAAATAATAATTTGTATATACCTTTAGGATCTTTTTTTCTTTTGCTAAAACCTTGCGAATATATCTATAGTCGTAGGAGAATCGATTTAGATATTTTGTCATTGAAGTTAGAGTGCTGTTAATCATCACCAAGAGAAACTTGAAGTACGTAAAGAATGAGACTTTCTGTTCTTCTTCTTTCTTGTCACTCTCCTTATCTTCTATTTTCTCTTCTTTTATATCTGATGGTTCTAGTGTTTTGACCAAGTCTGTAACTTCTTTTTCATCCGTTTCCATCTCTACTGAAGTGAGACTCGTTCGATCGGGACCCTAAATAATTTTACGTAAATTTTATATATTGGGAAATATTACTTGATGCTTAAACTGTGTGATCGTGTGCTTGAAACTAATTAAGTCTGCTGAGAAAAATGCATAAGTGCATGTCGTATCTCTATAAAAATTTTAAACGAATAAAGCAATTTTTAAATACTGTTAAGTCCAAATATTTTATTTAATAATACTCAAGTTCCAAAAATCTTAACTTTGAATTAAATAATTATCCATAATAAGATTTTATCATAATTAAGATTTATATTTTTGAATTTTAATTACTTAATATTTATTTTATACTTACTCTTACTGTACAATAAGCGTACAATAAGCATTACAAGTGATTACAAAGATTACAGAAGACTACATGTAGAAAATATGAAATAAATCTTCATATAAAATACGCATGTGTGTATAAGTGACGAAATACCTTGCTATCATTCTGTGATTATAACACATATAAATTAATAAAAAATAAGTACAATGTGTTAAACGATGTGAAGACGATAAAGACAATAGTAAAATTTTGTATCCAATACTTCTACGAAGCTGAGAGTTTATGAGAGAAGAAGATATATCATCGAGCACTAAAAGCATTATGCAAATATGAAAGATAATCCACTTGCCATATAGAATTCGTTGCTGTGACTGCTTTGTATTACTTGTTATTGTGTTAACTTATATTTAATAAAAGAACAATAAATAAATAAAAATATAGCGAAAAGTTTTTTGGTTAAAATACAAATTAAACTGAATTAAGAATATCTTGCAAATTGCCTTAAACAGATCTGGAATAAGATATTAATATTAAAAAGAAAATAATAGAAATATTATTGTTAAAAATAAATCACAGCAAGTTAATATAATTTATAAAAAGTAAAATTAATTGCATATAATAAAATCGAGATGCACATAAAGTAAAACAAATTGCTTTATCGCACAGACGAACGACAAAGCAATAATATAACGGTACAAGAAGAATATATCAGCACAAAAGTAGTACAAAACGATTCATAGAAAGCTAATAGCCAATAGTCGAATCTTATTTAGGAGACAATCTATTGTTAAATTTTTTCAGAAATTTAACAAAAAAAGAAAGAAGTATTTCAACGTTCATCAAAATAAATGTAAAATTAATATAAATTTTTTTTAAGTGACTTTGAAAAATGTATTGATATGACTTTACTGCTATGTGTTTTTGTATAAGATGTGGATTTAGGTCTCCTATAAAAAAGAATCAACCACATAATGCACCAACGGTGAGATCTGTCTTCGACAATTCGGCCTTAAAGACAGTATTATATACAAGAGTAAAAAGTGACAGTTATAGGCAGACAAATGCCTGTAGCGGTCATGCAGCCTTTTACTGGGAATCGGGATGTCTCACATCGGTGGCCATAGCAGTGTCGGTCTCGGAGCGAGCGCTTAAATAGGACATGGATGATTTCTTCCGTGTCAAAGGTACACTTCTACGTCGGAGTCTCAGGGCGTCCTTTTCTGTTCCTCCGTACATGGCGACATGCGTCGCGATCTCAATGTCTGTCTTAATCAGCGTGTTCATCAACTGTAAGGAGACTTACGCGTCAGTTCCACCGATCGATTTCGTGCCATCGTTGTTGGCCCGGACGTATTGCAGGATCCCTCCTCGAGGAGGAGAGAGAAAAAGAAAAAAGGGTGCTACCAATGCATAGATTCAGAGCAAAAGAAAGATAAGGGGAATTGATAACACATAACGAAGATCTTTTGGTTGCAATTATCACAGAGAAAGAGATGCACCATTCGGTTTTGTAGTGGTCTATTCGAAATACTTTTTCAGAAAAATTTCAAAATATCATTTTTTTACTAAATTTATTATGGTATTAATATGTAACATTGTGATATACACATATAATATACACACAATTTTTCTTACAAATATAATAAATATTTTACTTTTAATAGTAAATATGTATATAATGTTGAAATTTTATGATATGTATTTGAAATATTTCTAAGCAATTCGATGGACCAACATCTTAATTGAGAGATTAGTGAATCTTAACAAAAATCCTTGTTTGTGAATCGGTATTACAACATCAGTCACTCAAGTTCATACCGGAAGTTCAATACCTTGAAGAAAATAAAATGGTTTTGACGTGATACATATTTTTTATAATTTTATTTACCTCTGAAACAGTCATTCTTCTTCCTTTTCGTTCTTGTTCGCGGCGGCGTTCTTTTTCCTTCTTTTCAATATCACTATCAGGAACAAGATCGGTAACGTCGTCGTCATCCAGATCGTCAAACATGTAATAATCGCCCGATCTGATTGCTAATTGTAAAAAGAATTACAGTTATTAATAAGTCATTACTTTCATTACGTAAGCAAAAGCCATGCATATATAAGTGACCTTGATGTAATTAGAAAAAAGTGCAAGGACGTTTGAGCTGTGAATATTATAGAGTTGTGAATATTATATTCTAATTTTGATATAATTATAGTATCTCTATTAAATAAAAATAAACAAATATACATAAAAATGCCAATAGATCAACTATACATATATAATTTTAAAACACATCAGCTACTTTAAACTGTACATTAGATTGTTCTTTAGATTAAACACTGTACATTTTATATACAAATGAAATTATAAAATTAATCTGGGACTGTGACATCACAGTTGTTAGGATAATGCTCAGCTGTAAAAAAATGTACAATTACCCTCTCTGTTGGTCTGCGGCGAACGAATTTTGTACAATGGCCGTGTTCTTGGATAGAGTTCATCTAACAGAAAGACACAAGAAATAAAATAAAGATATGGAAAATAAAAATCTATATAGCTACAACACATAATATATTATAATATGCAACATATATGGTATGTTACATCGGAATTAGATCCTTCGATTCCGTTGTTGATTGGATTACTGAGAACAACCCATCAGAAAATATAAAAGCAATTCCTGTTGTTGTTTTGTAAAATTTCTGGATTTCTAAATTTTTATGCATTAAATGCATATAAGATTTTATGAGATTAAAGAAAGAATTGTAAAATGATAACAGATATGGTGATGAATGAAGATAAAAGAAGTATTTGAAAAATAATGCAATGTAATTGCGAAAAGAAATAACATAAAATAAATTAAGGAAATAGAGAAATATGAAGTATCATTTAATTCGATTTTCATAGAAATATGCGTAGATAAGCAAACCTGCAAATATAAGCATTTATATACAAAGATAATTTTGAACTAGTTCTTAGCTCAATATATTTTACTGTATATATTTTATTATCAAAAAACAGATTTAGAAGTCGCTTCTAATAAGACGTGACGAACATTATAGACACTGCTTCAGGTGTTTCACGGAAGATCTAAATGTGCAGACATTAAAAAGCATATGTACAGGTCACTGGCTATGCAGATATTGCCGATAAGTGATTTACACGTATGATGTGAGTGCGGGGAACGAGAGGCCGTCGAGATGATCGACTGGCGCGGATCACTGTTTATCCACGTCGGCCCAACTGGTAAGCTGGATTGACGCCGATGTCTCATAGAAGATGTTAGTGATCGATCGGCTAAGCCTCGATCGTAAGGCGGGGGCGAGAACACCGGGAATGTCTCGTCTGGTGACGGTCCTCGAGGATTTAGCTCGCTACTGGGTGGCGAACCAAACGAAATACGTGTCGGCTCGAGGTAGCCCTCGAGACTGACCGTCATGATGGCAGAATTCGGCGTGGGTGCTTGCAATAAGGACGCTGCCCGTGGAGTCAAAGGAGGTGGTTCGTCGTCGTCTTCATCCAAAGGTGTTTGATATCCTTGCGGGGGCGTATGACCCGAGGACACGCAAGAGCTCACGCTAGGAGATCTTGCCAGTGGTGCTTGTCTCTCTTTTTTGACGCATTAAAGATATATTGGGTGTTATACTATATGTAGTAAATGAGTAGTAGAACAATGAAAACGGAGACATCGAGAAGGCAAATTATCAAGAATAATTTGTAAAAATATTTAGTAATTATAAAAATACAAAGAATTAAAAAGAAAAATAATATTTATTCGTGTCTATAAATAAAAATACTTCGTGACCTATTGTTAAATAAACGATTACCTATTAAATGACAAAATTCAAGTTTTTTTCAGGATTGCTTCAATAAAACGACATATTCTTTTAAATATTATATATCCTTAAATGTTATATAAAATTATAAAGCGTGCATTAAAAAAATAGCTTACCGACTTTGTGAGCCTGAGATTCTTTATAAGACGGTCCCTGTATTTTTTGCTGATTAGCTTTAATCTTGTCCATCTTGAACTTTAATTTTTCTAAAACAGTTTTCTCCACATTTTCTTGAATTTCTATACGTTTCTGATGCAGTTCTTCAAGCAATTCTGCGCCGCGAGATGCTAAAATGCTCATGGCTTTTGTCTCATCTACTATATGGAAGAAGTAGTAGCTCTTGAACAATCGTTTTTGTATCAAAAGAAAGGCAAAACATAATCCGTCCCAAACCATGCCGATATCTTCACTAGTGACAGTACACTTGGCCGGATTCAGTGTCTCGCTGGAACTCTTGAACTTTTTCAAGCATGCGATACCCAATAATTGCACAAGCCAACAGGCTGATATTTCGAGCTAGTATTAAAATAATAATAATTTTTACATTTTTTATCTTTCTATAATTGTAATTGCATTGTATAATTGTATTGCATGTTTATTTATTTTGAAATTTCTGAATTATGTTTTCATACAATTATTCCAAATAAAATTCAATAATAGACAAAATTTTTTATTTTATTTAAAGAAATAGTAATTACGACAAAAATTGCAATAAATTGCAATAAATAATAGTTGTAATGACTTTAGAAATAATAAATTGAAAAAAGAGAGAACTTACTTCTTTAATGAGGACACAACCCACACCTTGAAGAAGAGCTTTTGAGAAAATTACAATAACACTATATCCGATTAGCATGTTCCACCATTTCAAAATAGTTCTCATTGGTCTTAAGTAAAAATTTCCTCCTTGCCAAAGGAATATAAATGCTCCTAAAAGATAGCCGAGCGAAAAGAGATTCGTTCTTTTCGTTCCAGCCAAAAACATTATAGATAAGGTCACCCACATGAGACTCATCATGCTACCACGTTTAATTATATCCAGCCATGAATGAATGTGCGACACGTAATCTTTTACAGGATTTATAAAATTTGGTTTTTCCATGTCTTGGAAAACGGAATAATTGTGTCCAGCCACAAAATCCTTGTCAGGCTGCAAATATTGTTGCTCAATGTGGAAGACTAGACTTTGTCGCACGATCATCATTAGTAAGATAAAGTCACCTGAGTACAAAATAAAATGTTATGCAAAATCTTTCTGTTAATTTTAAATTGTATTAAACTTACAAATAAGTTTTCTGGAATTCGGAGGGAAATCTGGATCAGGAAGATACATCCATTCCTGCAATCTTCTCATTATTTCAGAATTGCTCCAAGGATAATCTGGAACAAATCCAAAAAAAAAAATCGTTTTATTTGCTTTATATAATCAAAGAATTTATTTTTTTCTAATGTATTATTACCTATACAAAGCCACGAAGGTGGAGCCACAACAATGGCGTATTGGATAGGTAGGAGAATTATGGCAAAAGTTCTAAAACAGGGCCAAATTCGTGCGACAATTTTCCTTTTCAACGAAAAAAATAGTAGCAACCATATGCTATACAAGACGGAATAAAAATCTAGTCTAGTGCCAATCAGCGTAACAATCCCAATGAGGCACATTTCAAGACCAAATTTGTAAAAACCGTAGTTGAAGAGAAACTTTAAACACTCTGGTAATCCTTTGTCAGCGTCCACTCTTGTAATGGTTGGGAACATTATTTGAGGAGTATCCAATGATTCTCCTTTATTATGTCGATAAAACCATTGTCGAATTCTAATAATTTTCCTGAAAGTTGTCACAGTAACAATGCCAATGTAACCTTTCAACAGGTCTGGAAGCATACCCGGACCTGCTTTTTTCATTCCAAACCATTCGGCTATATTGTAGACGGTATTGTTACTTGCATATTGCTCATCGACGGATCTCTGAAATTAATTGAAGTAATATATTTAATCGAATTTAAAAGAAAGTACATTTTAATATAATAAATTTTAATTTACAGTGCAATTGACATTCCAGTTATCATGATTAATATATTTAATTTGATACAACATCTTGGTAACCATTAGAAGCGATATTATCGCGGCCATTGCATTAATTGAATTTATCTGTATATTTCTTCTAAAATTGATCATTATAACTACGGCGACGATGAAAAAGAAATTTATTGCGCATACCTAAAACAAAGATAAATATGTTATTTAATTGTTTAGTTAATTTTATTTTTCAATTTTAAAAAGTATGCGTTGATCATAATAATTCCACTTACGTCATTGATGCACAGAAGAACAAATGAAATAAAAACTATTTTTTGCATGTGTATTTCGAGGAACAGCCAGGTGTAATTATAAAAATTTTCAAGATGCTTTTTCATTTTGTGTAACAGCGCTTTTTTTTCTAATTTTGACATATCTGTAATTATATTTTCAAAAACATTTATTAATAATAATATTTCGATAAAACAATAACGTTCACTAGAATATTAAATAAAATTAATAAAGAACATACGTTTTAATTGCTTCAGTGTGTACATCGTATGTTTCTCATCTTCGGTGAGTGTAACCTCAGTTGGTGAAGATTCTGGAATATTTAAGCTGGGAGAATATCCTAGACTAGCTCGTCTAAATGAGCTTTCGGGCCTAAAATTAATAAAAAGGCATTTTTAAATACAGTTATTATATAATTAATATCATTTTTTTACGAACCCTAATCTATCAATATTTGTGACTTCAAGAAAATCCTTGTGGAAATAATGAATCTGAAGTACTGTAATGATAACGAAAAACGTTGGCGTTAATAATCTCACAAACAAATCTTTGATCTCGTAGATCTCTAATCCAATGTCCATTTGTCTGAAAAAAAAGGAAAAGAAAGTAATTTATCAGCTTAATGTCATAGCATTCTTTGTTTACGATAAACATGAGATGATTTTTTATATATTTGATGGAAAATCTAAATGCTTAATAAATGAGATAATAATTTCACAATTACTTACAAATCTTGATCTATACCAAGATACTCCCAATATTTCGGAAAGTTTTGAAATTGGTAGGTATAAACGAGGATCAACATAACGATCGAATATCCAATGACAGTCACCCAAAATACATACATCATTTTTCTCCATGCTGTCCACGATATCTAAAATTCCACGATTTAATATTTATAATACATTCCTATTGATAAATTTCGAATAGATATATGTTCAGAATTTAAATATAACACCTGGAATGTGATAACAAAAATGAGAAACAGCGACATGTAAACGATTCTGAACATAGTCATGCGCTCGCCCGTAATGCCGCAGATGAACAGCATGATTGCTACCACAGCAATCCAAAATCTTGTCAATAGATCTTGCAATAGTTTTCCAACAGCTTTCATAAATTTGCTCTTGATTTCTGGTGCTTCCTGGTGACTCATAACGGTTGTAGCCGTCGAGACAGATACGTGTAAAGGCGCTACCATATCCCTCAGAGCAGACCGTCGCTGTTGCTTTCGTTCTGCCATGTACTGTCTCATAGTGATCCAGAACATTGATATAAATAAACACTGTAAATAAATAAATTACATTAAACACTATTTTAACGTATACAGCTTGTAAAATTAATTTATACTTATAAATAAATTTAGATTTTCTTATTTGAGGAAGATATTAATGCGCGTACCTTAACTATAAGATGCCAACGGCCGAGTTCATCAGTTTTGCTGAAACCAATTTCAGAAATTTTTATACCACTTACTACTCTCGGCAATTCTTCATCTGTCAGATCCATACTGTATACGTATTGTCCGAGAAGTAAGAGAGTTGCATAGAACACGATGAAAGGAGAGCATTTCATCATTGAAGCACGTTTATTGGGAACCATCCACAGAATTAGCGCCCATAAAAGCAGAACGAATGTTGTCCAGCTGTGATACATTATGCTCCACGTCTGAAAGAAAATTTTAAAAAATAGTCGATCCGATTGTTTATAATATTTTTACTTGCCATTTTTATTTTATGATACTTACCATCATTATTATATTTGTAGCAAGATATGATGAATTTACTATTAATTGGAAGATAGAATACACTGCCATGATTATTTGTTCAATGACGCCTGGTGTTTCATCAGGTGTTCCTAATTTTTAAAAAAGTCATTTAATTATTTATTTTACTGAATTGTTTTTTTTTTATAAAACCATACATTTACCTTCACTGAGACTTTGCATTTGTATGTTATCATCTTGTTGACCATCCTGATTCACAATAATACTTCCGGTAGTAGAGTCCTGAAGAAGCCCCGTTCTTCCAGATCCAAATCGCATCAACTATACAATAAATCAAATATTTTACTTTTTAAACACTTTTAATAGTAAGTTTATAATTTATTTTATAAATAATTTCATTTTACTAAACTTTCTATTACTACATTTCTCAGATTGTACTAAATCAGTATTCTCCAAGTTTCCTATGACAATAACAACCTTCATGCAAAATGTATAAAACATGCGTTTACCTTCACCAGTTTATTAATGTTAGCTTAAATTTGGTTAATATTTGCGTGTGTGAAAATTATGTGCGAAGTTAATTGCAACTGCACGCCAGGTTTGCTTGAATAGAGAATCTTGGATTGCTTAAAAATTTGTCACATGCAGAATTGTGAAGTACATTGTTGGTAAATAATTAATTAATCATGCATATTCAATTGGTATACGTACAGGCGTTCGCTCGTCGATTGTTGCCAACGGCGAATCTACGACCAGCTTCTAAAACAATGGCAAACTAAACATAGCAGCATCCAAACGGAAAATGATTTTGTTCAGCATTAAACAACAACTGCATATCTGGAAGGCGACAGCAAATAAGAAAACATGGAAAGTATTTAAAAATAGGCGAAACAATTTTTTACAAAAGATTAATTTTCGGAAAGAACGTATTAAACAGAGATTATATTAATAAAGCTACATAAATAATAATGCTAATAGCTCTTATAATCAATATTAAAATTGACTAATTATAATGATTGTTGATTACATTTTATATAGTTTAAGGAGGTACTTTAGTTTGACTGATCAAAAAATCTTATTTTTTACAGTTTTTTTATACTTTTAAGAATATGCTTGTAAAGCAATTTGACGAAATCCGTACTTCAAACAAAAACAGTACTTCAAACAAAGAAGAATTCTTCTCCTTAAGAAGAATATCTAAATAAAGTCTACCAATCTAATTAACAAGAATAATATTGAGGAAATTTAAAAAAGAGAACTACTACACAACAAACACTACAATAAATAATCATAAAAATATATTAAAAGTATAAAAGATAGAACAACTGTAAATATTATGAGAAATTGGGAAACCAGAAAGTTGAATCAAAATTTTGAAAATTTTAATGATAATTTTAACCTTAAACTAAAAATGTTAATATAACAAAAATATAAATATATTGTACAAAATAAATACAGTAAAAAATACAATATAAATACTGAAAATGTACAAATAATATACTTAAAAATTAAACTGGTTAAAAAGCTTAGAGAAATTTTTCTAAAATGCACAACTATAAATGTATATAGCTAATATAACACTTAGAAATAAGTTTTGTATAAAAAATTTCATGTAGACTTTTGGCATCCAATACGATACATATCAACAAAATAAGAATCTGAAATAAAAAGCAGCTGAGGACAAAGGCGAAGTTGTGTGATTATAAATATTTGAAAATATTATATATTGAATCGGCTCTTATATGGAACAAGTCCTTACACGAGCCTTACGACGAGCTGATTGCCATCTTTGGGAAGGTGTCCTGCGCCTGAGGGACACATGCCTGGACAATGGAGTGTCCAGATTTTCCAGCCTGCCACTTAATCGTTTTGCTTCTTTCGCCTGTAATGCCTTGTTAGTACAAGCAACATACTTTCAACAAAATTTTCCACAAATAAAAAATCGACAGAATTGCCAAAATTATTAGGTGTTGGAATTAATTCGTAGCGTTTTTTAAAAAAGAAACTTACAAAATTTACAAGATGTCAAAGAAACCATAGAATTACCTTCAGAACTATATAATGTTTAAATGTATAATAATAAATATTTATAGTATTAATATTATAGTATTAATATTTATAGTAAATTATCATATACCGATAAAATAAAATACTATTTTTTACGACTAATTCAATAGCTGACGATTCTATTTTTGTGGTTCATTTAATAAGCCTGGGACTGATTGTTCTATCTTCAAATAAACTATATGATAATTTATCAATTGGATAAACAAAAGAATAAAAAAGTAAGAAAGTAAGCTGAAGTTTATCGAAAGGTAGAACAACCTAGCCTTAATCTTATATCAATGATTTCATAGATACAGTTAAGTTACAGTTAAGATACGGTTAAGTTAGTTCAAAGGTCTTGTTAGGCTATCAGCTGTTATTTGTAGTGATGTTAATAATTACTCCTCCACAAATGAGTTAATTACGCTCTATGCAATGGACAGATAGCATGTATAGCTTGGGATAAAAGCCTCCAAGTTTTAAAAGAAGCTTTGGTAGAAGAATGTACCAATATATTATTTCTAATAATATTTGATATATCATGTAGACTATATATTGAATTCTATAGCTATTTTATTGTACTTTATTAATTATTACACCAAATTTTTAATTTAAAGATAATATGATTTAAAGATATATTTTTAAAGATAATATGCGATAGAATGTTTGTTCTATAGAAATTATTTGTACCCAAATTTCTTTCAATATAAAAATAATACGATTGCATTAATAATATAGCAATTAAAATAATTCTAATGTAATTAAAAATTTGGCACTAAAAATTCTATAAGTAATAAAATATATGTTAAGAATACTAATCTCTAATATTATCTAGCAATATCTTTAAATATGCTATTCTAATTTTTTTAAATAATTAATTATATAAATTTATAATTTTTAAATTTTTATATATTATTGTTTACATTAATTAATAAATATTTAAACTCACCGGTTTTCTACTGAGAAATTGTGACTGCAATGCGAGGATGTAGTAGAGCCAGAACAATCTCAAAGCGTATCCGTAAATCAACCAATCAGCATTATCTGTATATTCCACATTTCTCGGATCGCTACAATTTGTGTGATAAACTGCAGCCAGAGCCAAGTAACGTGACCAGGTACTAGATACAGGAATAATTTCTTGCAACCATTCGTTCTGATAGGCGAGTAATATAACGATGTGAACAATCACGATGACCATGATGATCCTGCAAATCACGGAAAATCCCTTTCGCAGTTCTTTGTTGCATGCCCAACATGTAGCAGCGCCGAGAAACACCAGGAAGTAGAAGGCCGCCTCTATTGATGGCTTCAAAGCCGCGACACAGCATAATGACGCCAATACAACGTAGATACCAATACTTCCCAGGAAATTAATTATCTAAATTGTAAACATAAGTATTATCTTTGATAAGATATCAATTTTTGCGTAAAATATTCGTAATTTATATTAGAGTGAATTTAAGTGATTGAGATTGTGAATGATTTCGTCATAAATGGCATTTTATGTATATTTATATTAAATATTGCAGACATTTTTATTTTATGCCGAACACACAACATTACGAAAGTATAATTACCTTTGTGGAACTATTCTCTGTTTTTTTTCGTTGCAAATTATTTTCCTGATGAAGAGCAGTTTCCTCTTCTTCAATGCTAACACGTCTTTGTGTAAGGAAACGACATATAAAATATGTAACAAGTACGGTAGGTAAAACTATAAATTCCGGCGCCAACCAGTAAAATATTTCCCATACAGATGCGCTATCTAATCTGACAAAGCCTATGTGTCTGAAGAGCTTCTCCAAAAACTCGCCTAAAAATATTTATTTATGTTTAGGGTTAAAATAATTTCTAATTAAAAATTCTATGGTTTTCAAATATTCTTTTAAATTTTGTTTTGTGTCCCATATTATATTTAATCGAATACTATCATGTCCAAAATATTATGTAAAGGTATAGTATTTTTAAGAATATAATCTCCAACTTTTATAGAGGTAACGTAATATTTAGGTCAGAGTGTTGCTTACAGTTTTGTAAAAAGTATCCATACGGCGGTAGTGACAAAAGGACAATATGAAAGGTGATCTGAGCTATGACTACAAGAAATGCCAGACAAATACAAGTCTTTAAGTATATTCCCGTATGGCCTGTCATGGTTTTGTGCGTCGGTATTGGGACTATCGGAGAATAAAGCATCAGTCCCAGGTAAACGATCGACAATCCCGTTGGTCGCCATATCGTACCTATAAAATTAAAATTCATCTTTATATGATGTTTATAGCTTTTTATTTCAATATAGCTTTTTTATTTCAATATATCAGACTTTTAGCTCCTCTATAAAGAATTATAGAAATTTTAAGACTTCAAAAAGAGATTTAGATATGAAATCTGAAAAATATAAGGAAAAGTATAGAAGATATATAAAGTGCCAATTATGTTTTTATTATAAGAATAATGATAATAAATTTTTTATTCAACAAAAATTTTAGAGATGTTTATGGAGCTTTTGTTAGAAATTACACTAACCAATTACACTATCCAATTACTTATTTTGTTCATAAAGTTTTATTCTACTTTCATTTTAAGCTTTATCTGAAGGATCTTGCCTTAATGAAATGTACAACAGCACATAAAGTATATGAATCTGCGGTAATAGTTATTTCTACGTTTGTGAAAAGGTCATTTATAACGAGATGTTCTTAGAAAATGATATTTTAACCCCTCTAGTTATTTCGTCAAGACCTTCGCTTTTTATTATTGATCCATTTATTCTAATCATAACATTCTAAAAAACTTTCTCAATTTAAAAGTTTACTATAATATAATATTCGAATAATAATATTCGATATTCTAATATTTTATTTCTTGTAAATATATTTAATGTTTATGTTGATAAAAAAAATATTAGAAAAGTTTCCGAAATAGGCATTTAACGAAGATGTTATTAAATAAACACCCAGTGTATAACTTAAACATATGCATATGTGCTAATAATTAATGCAAATCAGAAGATTAGTCTGACGATAATTACTTTCACGGAACGTTACATGGAACGTCTTTATAAACTAACGTATCTATCTATTTACCTGCTAATTTTGATATTTTATAATATACTAGAATTTATGTTATTTGACCTTTTTAAATGTTGATACAAGAATATAGCATCATTTTCAGTAGTCCCCTCTATATAGCAGCTTAGTCATCCTATTCACGGCACGTATTATATTTGCACGACACTCATAAATAACTACATTGTGTCGCTGCCAAATGAAGTTCATCACAAACGTGCACGATTCTGCTAATTATTTTAACAATTATCTTTTTTTAAATAAATATTTTTGTACTAATATAATATACTCTTCTTTCTTTTTCTGTAATAATATTTAATTTATAATTATTACGGTCTCTAATATTATCATATTTTTGGCAAATTATGTTCAATTTAAGTACTAAATAATTAATACAGTATTCACGTTTGTTTTATAGATCAATAATCAATATAAGTACTTATATGGACTGTACTTATAGATTGATTATCTTCTATCTTATAGTAACAATATTAACGAAATTCTCAAAATAAATTTCGGAAGCATTAAAGCATTAATTATTTGCATTAAATAATTGGACGGTTCACATGTGCAGTAATAATCGTAGCAAAAAAACATTATTCACAGTCATATTATATTTCTACTATCACATATTTCTTTTTCAAAGTCAATAATTTAAGCCTAGTCTGGAAGGTTTCGCATCACGAAACTGTACGTGAGTCCGAAAATAGAGAAATCGCACGTATGAAATATTTATTAATGTTTTTGAAATATTTTTTTATACAACTTTTATAAATATAAAATCATACAGAGAAGTTAATTATTATATTTGCGAGATTTCAACGTTTTTACACATAATTTGATTTATATAAATATTAAACACTTCGATTAATTTCGCATTTAAAATAAATAATATCTATATATATTAATTTTATTACATTAATAATACATTAAATGTTTATGTAAAAAGTAACATTTAACTAAAATTATTTATTTATAGAAAGATATAATATATAAAAATCATAACATAGTATTTTTGTATATCTCAGACTAAATTATTATATTGCAAGATTGACATTAATTATTTATTGTTTGTATTCTTCTTCAAAGAATAATAAAAAATTTACAAAATATTGCAATAAATTGTGTTTACATTTGACAAAAAATTTATTTCAACAAGCTTATGTGGAATATGGATGTCTTATTTTTTATAATTATAGAACACTTAAATCTCATTTTATACGTTTGTATAGTTTAATATGTTGAAATCGAATGTTTATTTGAACAAAGCTAAGAAATTTTGCTCTCATCCGGGTTCAAGCACCTGCTTCCTAATTTTAGAATATTCTTCGAGCAACTTGGAACGTATATTCATGCTATGTGAATTTTACGGAAATACACTTCTGTTCTATTTATTTTTTGTTTTTACATATTTTACATTGCAAAGACATAATTATTCATTTTAATTTATTTTCTTAGTATAACGATTACAGAATTACAAGTATATACATTAACATTAAATTATTTTAAATGTTTAGAAAAATTTATCTATTTAAATTAATTTACTATATACATTATTCAATTTATATATTTTTCGAACAATCCATTTTGCTGTTTTCTTTTTTTTTGGACAAGTAAAATATATTGCATAAAGTATTTCGTAAAAAAATAGGATAATTGGTAATAATTAATAAGATTTATAGTTAATTGGACTTTTCTTTGCAAAATTTATTATTCAATAATAGAAAGTAAAGACAATAACGGTAATGTATTGCTACTTAGTGATCTAACATGTGGTGATTTGATAACACACTGATAAACAATGACGTCATTACTCTTCGCCTGATAATAAATGGATCAATATGAAACGTACAAATAATTAATCTACTCGTTTGTATAGTATGAATCTTAAAAATTTATGTATATAATTATGTTATATAACTATTAAGGCAATATAAATATTAAAGTTATATATTTTATGTTAGGATTGAGCTTATTATAAGTTTATCATGTACATTTCTGATAGATTTATTCTTTTCTATTTATTATAGAAATAAAATAAAAATTATCTTTTCTGTTTGTGAATAAAATAAAAGATTAATTAAAATCTTTTAAAATAAGTTTTCAAATAAAGACAGATTAATGTATAAATGTTTATCAAAAATTGATAGATATTTATAAATATAATAAAGAACAAAATAAAATATGTAAAGTACAAATAGTAATCATATAATCATTAAAAAAAATTACTTGTTAAGAGATTTGTTATATAAAAAATCAAAAAAATAAAATGATATGCGAAACATAAATAGTAAACACGCAATTATCAGAGGAAGTTATATTATGAAGAAATCATTGATATTTCCTATGCTATCTATTAGCATAATACTGAATATGATTATGCAAAATGTAGGCAATCAATTTAAGATTCTTTCGACATATTCTTGCTTATTTCTAGTATCATTCTATTATGAATGGTGATAAATCGGCATTTCATGTTTTTCATTTTGTTTTTTGCTTTATAATTAACAAGCTGAAGTCAATCTATTATAAAATATGATTGTTATAGATATGATATCATCAATTATTATACTTTATTATGACAATGATTATAACAGATATTTCCGTATTAAACAACTAATCTTTGTACTCGCATTTAGTTTTAATTCCTTTACAGTTTTACGACAAATTTTCTTTAATAAACGTCTTTAATATATAACATTGTAATAAAAAAAATTTTTTAATGAAACTTTTACAATAATAATACTTAACGTATTTATAATTATACTTTTTTGCAAAAATAAATGATTAAACCAATTGATATAGCTAATATAAATAATAAATACAATGATTACAAGATTGAACTAATCTCATAACGATTTTTTATATTTATTTTTTCGCGCTCCTATTTTAAAGTTGTACACACTCATAACCCATTTATTGATTATAAAATATAAGTAAAAAGAAATAGAACAGAGAAGGAGTTACGTGAATGGTACTCACATCCGGCTAAGATGACTGGTAGAACGACCCTGAGAAGGGCCACGTTCAGCCAGTACTTCGTCATGCCTGAAGCTACCTGGATGTCTTTTCACCCTGAAACAGGAACGAGATGATCGACTGTATATATTTAGAAGTACTCTTTAAATTTCTCTATGATTGCTATTTAGCATCGACAAGAAAATATTGTCGCAATCCTGAACACCTCTAACTTCATTTCGCTGAGAGACGTAATATTGAAATTCTGCGTTATGCCCTTCATTTTACGATTGCGTTGGCCCTTTCAGACCAGAAAATTTTTCTTATAAACCGGTTTTCATCATCGTGTTCCATATGACATATTCCACAAGCAGTCGCAGTTATAAACTGCATTTGAAGTTACTCTAAGACCAGTATTTATAGTCAGATCTTATATTCAGATATTAAGATCGTCTTAAGTCTTAAGATGTCATGAACCAATAAGAGAACCGTAATAGCATCTTAAGATATTACTTAAGACGGTCTTAAAATAAGAACAAACTATGAATACCGCCCTAAGTTATTTATTCGTAACATAGAATGTTACAAATTCCCATATGCGACATCTATATCTATCGTTAAATGACACTAGTATTTATCGTATTTCAAAGTATTGTAAAAAAAACCGATTTATCAGTTATTTAAAATATGCTTAACGAAACGCGATTAAGTAGTTAGCATGAAATGGTAGCTGAAAGTTCCCGAAATGACTTGCCATTAAACAATTCTGGGAACGAGAGCGAGTATGTTTTTGGTCATAAGAGGATTCAGCAAAAAGAGGCGCGCCCACCTTAATTACAGGCCAATTACATAGAGACGACATCGCTGAGAGGTGCGCCGGTTACGCTTTTATCGCATGAAGATGTGAACGCGAATGGTGTACGCAACAGAAAGAGGGAAAAAACATGACGTTGCGTGACTATATAATTTCACTATGGGCGATATCAATCAACTTCGCTTTATTCTATACAATCCATCAGTAGGCTTTATGACGTAAAAAAGAAAAGAAAATGGAGAAAGAAGACATGAATGAATACAGTAATTAAAAACAATGATAATTGCTTTTGATTGGATCATATATGTAATTTAATTCTTGTGTGTAATTAAAAAAAATATTTTAAAGGTAAAATTAATGAATATTGGCTATACAGATATTAATTAATTTTTAATTTCTGATTAATTTTTCAAAAATTAAAAAGAAAACATTCTCCAGTCTTATACAATGCAGCATACCTATGTCGCTCCGTTGAATAACTATTTCAATAATAATGATTTATAAAGAAAATTACATTTATATTTATATTAAGTTATTTTTTCTGAGAAAATATTATAAAATATTATAATACATTTATTTTAACTAATTTTCATAATATAACGTTTTACTTATAAAATAACAAAATTAATAACAACAATATACAAGATATAATTAATTTATCGAAAAATAAACTTAAAATATTTTCTAATTTTTTTCATGAAAGAAAAAGTATATCATATCGATTGTTGCCAATAGAGATAACATGTAAGGTGCGACTAATGGCTTATTGTATTGTATATAGGAGAAGAAACACGTTGAGCGGAGTCATGTTTCCCCTGATAAATAATATCGTGATTGACAACAGTATATATACTGTGCAGCACGATTCATATACACATATAACAATATTTTTATCAAGATAATTTCATCCTTAAATTGAAGTCGTTATTAATAATTCCTTTATACATTTCTATAAAATACATATTTTAAAAACACTTTGTTTTAAAAACATTTGATATCGTATGCAAACATAATACTCATTGAATGTCCACGCGTAGTCCACATGTATCACGTGTCGTATTTTAATTAGCCACCTAACTCGATTGTTTGCTTGAATCGTAAGTATTCGAAGTATGCTAATTAGGCAAACGTATACGTATAGATTTATTAAAATTTTATGAATGGTATGCTATTTTTAAACTTGAAACATCTAAAAAATTATATAACCAATGTCGTATATGTTGTATATTTTTTTTTATAATAATAAAATAATTTTATTAAAATACATATTTATTATAGTATTTAATATAATACATCATCATTTGTGCAGAAATAAAAGATCGTTTAAACATAATTACGTACAACATAAATTATTACATATAAAACAAATTTTAATTAAATAAGTAAATAATAATATATAATAACATATATAATAACATATATAATGAATTGCCATATTAAAGAAAACGTTATCTATCACATCATCATCAAATATCGTCACGAATTATTATCTCTGTCTGACAATTGATCAAGGTCTGTGATCTAATGAGAAGAATTATTTTTAATCAATGCTAAATAAACATACGTTGGAATGTAATAGCGTACGTAATACAGAAGATGTAAACTTGTCATATGTATCTAGATTCATTCATTGTTACACATATTTAGATTTATTATAATCTTTTTTGACAGTTATTTGTTGTTAATTCTTGATATGGAAAATCATGTTTTGATTGAATTGTAAATAAATGATTTCGTAATATATCGAAGAAATATATGAAATGTACAAGTTGCGTGCCGAGTCATTATGTTTCGTGTAAAGATAAATATCGCACCGAGAGATTAATCATGAGTTCGTACATTTAAAGAATAAAGTGCAGTGTAAATATTACACTAGATTTTTATATGTTTTTGATAATTGCGGTAGATTATCTTTATATCTAAAACTATTATTTAGCTCGTAAAATATATACAATGAGTGCAAAAACTATTCAAAGAAAATATTTTTTCAAAGAAAATGACTCATCGAATTGATATTGATACGATGATTTCGACACTAATTTAACGATTTGACATCTAATTAATGGTCATTTCTTGCTGAATAACATTCACTTTTAAAAATAAGTTTTTAAAAAATATTTTAAATAAAATTGTGTTGAGAAGGGTTAAAAAATATTTTCTTTGAATATTTTTTGCACTCATTGTATATATTTTACGAGCTAAATAATAGTTTTAGATATAAAAATAATAATTAACAATTTATTCATAAAGAATAAAATAGACTAAAATAGTTTCTTAAATTATATATACCAAAAAGATAATATTAATTATAGAAAAATCTTAAAAATAAGTGAAAATTAAAAATTGTATTGTTTGGATGTTCAAAATTTACATGCTTCTAAAATTAGAGATACACGCAAATCTCGTTTGTTTATGTAAAAATAAAATGTATTTATTATATAAAATTGTTAATTAATGTTTATTTTTTACAAATATAACTTTTTTTTATAAAAAATTTTCTTGTACGAATATTTTTTGCATTCACTGTATAAAGTTATAAATTTGTCTTCTCTAGATTCTCTTATCGTATAAATTTTTAAAGCAATTTGAAAAAAATATTTTAAAGACGATAAAATAGATTTTCAGGATTGCAAACAAACATTTATTAATTAATTATTGACTATTTGACTTCTATGACGTGCACAGTTGCAGACTAAATTCAATTGATAATTATTGTAATATAGTTGCATCAAATTGCATCACTTTGCAACTTTAAAGAAAATAAGAATAAGTATAAATTATATAACTTTACAGCAATTAAAAAGTAAAATTACGTTCATCCATTTATTATTAAATAACCAGTTAAATAAAATTATAAATATATTAGTTTAATATCATTTAATAACATTTAACATATTTAATAAGAGATTTGATATATTCGTATGTTTAGTAAGACTAGTAAGATATAAATACAGTTTCAAATCTTTATATTTTTTCTTATCTTTCAGAAAGTATGTTTGCACATGTATGCCTGAGCGGTCTCATGCGATAATCCGGATAATTGTAGATAATTGTAAAAAAATAATTGTACAAAAGTTTATTATCTATATTCTAAAATTTAAAATTAATTATAAATTTTATTAATTATAAATTAATTATAAATTTTTTAATTTTTGTCAATACTTATAAGAACCTTTGAATTGATATAATATTTATAATAATTACGTAAACATGATAAACATTACTTATTATAGATAATTTTACAATATTACAGATAATTTTATCATAAATAATACTGCAATCGCGAATGTATTAAACTTTGTTATATTTTGTTAAATATTTGAATAATTATTATTATTACATAAATCTTAAAATTTTTTCATTTTATCTTTACTTATTTTATTTATGTGATTCATTTAGAGACTTTTTGTTTACTTTCAAAAATAAATAAGTGTAAATATAAAAAATCTGACTACATTATATACAAAAAATCTTAAAACAAAATCTTAATCACAAAATTTCGTAGAAATTTTGTTCATAGAGTTATTTTTGCATTATGGATGGATCTGAGTCAACACAGCATCATGGACTACCGTCCTTGACACAATGGCTCATGCTTCCGTTTACAATAATTGTTGTCGACAATGCTGATATTATACAATAACGCAATTTTACACCTACAATGAGTATGTTGCTAACTTTAGAATAAATTTTTTTGATATAATATTTTATATAATTCTTTTTATTAACCAATTTCACGTACTTATTATCACAAATTTATTAAATAAATTCCATTTATTATATTCGGAGCAAAATTAAATCTGCTAATATAAATTTATTTACTTAATTCTATTTGTAATTTTGTTGTAATTTTAAATTCGATTTGCAATCATTAAAGAAACCTTGTTAATAAACAGAGAAACCTTGTCTATGATTATAAAAGGAAATCCCCTCCCCCTTCTCCCTAAGTCTGAAGTAAATCATTTTGTTTAAAATATGCAATTTCACTTTTCCTTCTTGATATGTTATACGTCTATTAATTAAAGAAAAAAATCTCTTCACAGTTTCTAAATCAAAGCACACTCACGATGCCTTTCAAGTATTTTTCTATCTTCATCATAAAGATCTACTTCATGACATCAAAAATCTACAAATAATGAAGCAAAAATTTCTAAACATTTCGTTATTATTTCTACATTCGCCTCGATTTCGTAAATCATTGTAGTAGAAAATAGAACGTACCTTATACGAGCACACACTTTCTCCCAGCTGTCTTCGGACCAATCGAACTTCGAAGAGAGCAACATGCACTTTCCGGTACGCTTTTCAGCAATCGCGAAAGTAACACGTCACATCATCATCACTAGTAATCACAAATGCACCGCGTCCACGATGCACTCAACTACTGTGTATTCTTTATGAATTTATGAATGACAACGCTCGTTTATGTCTACGTGTCATCTATTATAAAATTAACGGAGCATCGACCGACTTTCAATCCTCTCTTACGTACGACTATAACCGACTTCAGCCGACCTCCGAGGTCTGGTCGACGCCGGTTTGCCACTGACTGGTTTGGTCGTTTAGACGCCAAGGCTGACTTCGATATCCGCATTTACTCGTGTACAGCAAAGCCTAGTGTGCATGCGCGATAACTGTAGTGCGTCATCAGCACTATCTTATACTAATGCGATTCTCTCTTTTTCGCCGTTCAATATAATAATTAATTGTTATTAAATTATAAAAAAAAATATTTTTTATCGCTTTTTTCTCTTCTTATATATATTTAATGTATAATATATTATCATATGAAGACGATAAAGAAATCGTTATATATAAATCGTTAGTATATTTTATAACTGTTACATGTTTGCAAATTATATTATGATAATGGCGGAAGAATATGAAAGTTCATAGACAATATAATGTTACATATACTATTCACTTTTGCATTTTATTAAATTGTTACAAAATAAATTAAATAATTTTTGAATAATAATGTCATGATCTTTACAGAGATGGCGCCTGATGTTCCTTTCTTTCATTGTTATCCAAGAAACAAACCATGCTACCGACTTATATCAGCTCCAAACACGAGCGCTTAAATTTCTAAGCGCTTTGTAGGCACTGCTGTATATACTCTTTTATATAAAAATGATACATATATAAATAGTGTATAATTATTCCATGTATAAAATCTTTAGATTAAGTAAATGCATAAATTCATTATTTTAAGTCAGTTCTTCATATCGAGATTATTACTTAGATATTAAATTATTTCATCATGTAATGGAGTATTGAGAAGCTAAATCCCAACTGTATCCAGGTCGCATTAATCCACGCCCATACATTGCACATTTTGATATTGCATTACTGAATAATAAATGCAGCTGTGGCTAAAAGATTATTTGGTCAGATAAAGACGAATGTAAACAAGTAGATAGAGCACGTAAAAAAAATACAATTACCAATTAAAAGAAAGAATTTTATTAATTAATTAATCAAAAAATGCTGCGAAACATTAAGCGAAGCCAAAGAATATAAAAATATTTATAGCTTTACATAACTTCATATATTAATAAAAAATTCAACTATTCATTATTGTTGTGACAATTATCTCTCTCAGTTTACAAGATTATTGTACAAATGTGTCAATACAGTTTATAATAAATAGAAGAAAGCGCAACAATTCAATTAAGCTGTGGAAGAGTTAAGAAAAAGAACCAAATTAATAATATTTGCACATAATATTAAATTATTTGTAAGGATTATACAGCATTATTTTTGCGGTTTAGAAAAAAAATTGATTCTAGTAGTTTTTATGCTAAATCCGCTGAATCCGCAAATTAGAATGCTCTATCACATCAAAAGTTTATGAGAAAAATAGGATTAAACTTTAATTATTTAAAAAACCTAATGTGCTGGTAAAACTTATTTCTTAGCATCCAAATCTGTATGAAACACCTTGTCTGATTCAAAGTTTAATTATTTTGATGTGAACTATTATCATTAAGAAATAATATATAGGGTTATATATAGGATTCTGTTATCTTATATGATGTTTTGCATTTTATTCAATTTATTATAAAGTAAATGAAATAATTTTTTTTAAATATTTTTATGTCTACATAGCAGTTTCAACAATTAACCTTTACAGAGATGGCGCTTGATGTTTCTTTCTTCTCATGCATGTTATCTTATAAGAAGCAAACCATATTCCATTGTATTAGCTATAGTATACGAGTAATGTAACTCTTTTATAAAACTGATACATAAGTAATATGCAATTATACACAATTTTACATATAAAAATAAATATTAAATTTTTAGATCCAATAAAGACATGAATTCATTTTTTAAATCAGTCTTTCGTATCAAGATTGTCATTTAAACATTCAATTGTTTCATCATATAATGAAAGATCGCAAGTATCGAGAAGCTAAATCCCAACGGTACGCAGGTCGCCTTAATCCACGCCCATGCACTGCAAATATGTATATTTTAATATTGCATTAATGATTTATGAATTTAGTCATTTGTGTCATCAAAAAAACCATTTCTAGGTAAAAGTAAACATAAAGAAGATATGTTAAAAAATAAATTTAAATCTACCTTCCGAGAGTATTAAAATTTTAACGTTTATTTTTTTTATATTTATGTCTGTATAGCAGTCTTTTCATTTGCGCAATTGTAGCATAAAACAATCAAGTATATAAATATATTGTTCTGAAAAATAACATAAATTTGAGCAGCTTCAAGCCTATAAAGCTATCAAATGTAAAATATAGTGTATACAAATATTTATATTTATAATTTTATATATCTAATAATGTACTCAACTAATTAATGATCATTGTAACAATTACGTCTCTCAATTTAAAGATGCAAATATTAGATGTTGGAATTAATTCGTAGCGTTTTATAAGTGATGGGAAGTACTTTCATTAATGTATTTTTTAATGCTCATGTGAAATAAATAACATTCTTTCATTAAAAAACGCTACGAATTAATTCCAACACCTAATATAATATCAACATACAATCTTTAATTAATAAAAAGGAGTGCAATAACTCAATTAAGCTATGGAAGAGTTAGAGAAAGGAAACAAATAATTAACAATATTAAAGTCGCATGAATAATATTAAATTACTCGTAAGGGTTATCTGATATAGTAAATGGCTCCGTTGGAAGAATTCCACTGTCATAGATTATTACAGGCACAAATGGAATGTCATCGCTATCCGTTTTGGTCTGTTCGATCTTAAAGACTACAGCTTCACCGTTAACCACCTATGGGAAGAATTATTTAAAATTAACAAATAAATGTGTTGAATGTATTAACTTAAAATGTATTAAGATATTTAAGTATAATAATAAATATGATAATAAACTAAAAATTAAAAGAATTATCTGACAAATTATTTTCCAAATATGTAAAACACAAACAGATAACAAATTAAATATATTTTTTATATAATTTTATATATTTTTATTACCTTTCCAAATGCTGTATGGTGATCATCTAGCCAAGGAGTTGGTATGGTAGTAATGAAAAATTGACAACCATTGGTGTCCTTTCCAGCGTTTGCCATGCTGACGATCAATGGTCCGGTATGTTTTACTTCAAAAGTTTCATCGTCGAAATATTTTCCATAAATACTAATGGAACCAGTACCGTCGCCATTTTCGACGTCACCACCTATGTAACATACACATAACACAAATTGCATTCATAATTTAATGTCTGTAATAATTAATAAAAAATAATTACTAATCAAAAGAATAATAGCGTAACCTTGAATCATGAACTTCTTTATCACGCGATGGAATTTGGTCCCTGCATATTTTTTTCCAGCTATACCAGTAGTAGCAAAAGTGATAAAGTTTTTCACTGTTTTTGGCGCAATATCGCCGAATAAGCCAATAACAATCCTACCAACTGGATGATTATCAATCATTATATCGAAATATACTTGATCAGTGACTCTAAACGTTTCTGCCTGAAATGTAAATTTTTTTGAAGAATTCATTTTTTATATAAATGTTACGTAATAATTATTTATTGTAAATCATAATAAATAAATCATAATAAAGTCAAATTCAAAATGAGTTGCAATTAATACTCAAACATTACTTCATAAAAATTAAACGTTTAAAATTATGGATACTCTTTATAAATTTAATTTATAATATTATACTTTATACGACGATATGTTTTATATGACGATTATGTTCTCTAAAATATTACAATATAATTTTTTATTAAGTATAATTAGCATAATAAGTAATAAACATAATAAGAACATAGTAAGTAATTAATTTTTAAAAAATTATAAATTATTACGTGTAAATAACATTCATAAATATTTATTTACTTTTAATACTTACTTAAATATTCTAAAAATTTTAATAATTTTATTAAAAACAAGAAAAACTTAAAAAAGTTTTTTATAAAAAGTATGAAAAATAAAGTATAAAATCTGTAACAAGCAGATTATAACCAGTTTATTTTAGTAACAAAGAAACTTACAACATAGTACTAATTTTCCTGTACAGACTTTGCAAGGAAATCACATTCTTACCAAAGTTCATTTCGAATATCTTTTGCGTAGAAGTTATATAATAAAAAAATTATTATTAATAATACAATATTTCCAAGTATGATAAATAGATAATTTAAGATCTATAGAGCTATAAAAAAGAAGCTCAAAACAATCTCAAAACAATATGTTTGAACATATCTTTATTAATTTATTTTATTAGGTGTTGGAATTAATTCGTAGCGTTTTTAATGAAAGAATGTTATTTATTTCACATGAGCATTAAAAAATACATTAATGAAAGTACTTCCCATCACTTGTAAAACGCTACGAATTAATTCCAACACCTAATATTATTTTATATTATTTTAATAACGATTAAAATTTGCCGGTGTTTTTCATAAATATATTTTAAAAATAAAAAAAATGTAAACTTACAATTAGATTTGGAAACGTACTATTATTTATATTTAACTGGAATTATATTGGAATCACATAGCAATAACAAGTGTGCAGTTTACTGTTTAGTAATGCTGTTAAAAAAAAAACGTTGATAAAAGCAATATACCATCATATTCCCGCCCGCACATTGAAATTCATATTGGAAAGTTGATATGATGCAAAACTTATTATTGCAAAGCATACACATTTTTGTCTACCTAAATTAGTTTATGTAAGAATTGAAAATATTTCTTTTGTATGAGCATTACTTCGTTCAATTTATAATTTTTGTTCGTAGGTATTAACATTTAAATATTTATTAAATAATTTCATTTTAATGGTTTTTGGAAAACCATTTTTATTTTACACTTAAAATCTACACTAAAAAAAAATAATGTTGCATTAACAGTATTATCTTAATTAAAATAAAATAATAAAAATAAAAATAATTTTGTTGCAATAATATCATTAATAAAACCAGTGGCATAGCCAAGGGGGGGGGGGCTGTGGGAGCCCTCCCCCTCCCCCGAAATTCTGAATAACTTCATAAGAATATGTAAAGAATTGTTGAGCTGTAAATATCAATTTGTTTTGAGAGAGGAAATTAAGTTCTGTTGTAGGATAGTTCTTATATTTAATTTAGTTGCAAAAATATCATTTATTAAGTATTAAAAATATATTTGTTGATTTTTATTTGTGTATAGCACGTAAACAAAAATTCAATAAATTACACGGAAAAAAACGTTGCTGTTAGTACAACCGCAAAAAATGGCGTTGGAAGAATGGCAGCACTTCAACTCATGAAATTTCAGCCAGATATTAATATTTATTATTCAAATTTTACACTATAATTTTTGACATATTCTATGATTTGTAGAGCTATTCCGAAATTTTCGAAGCACTTTACAACAAAATGACGGATTTTTAATAATATTTTGTTGAATTTAGTGAATTTTTTTTCAAACGTTAAAGTTGTGTTACAAATTTTCGGATTAAAAATTTTCATTAATGTTACATTGTAGTTGAATATTTAAGAAGTTTTAAATCTTTAAATTAATGTAAAAAATTTATGACAATTTATATGCAGCGTCAGAGAAACGTTCGATGCGACATTGCAACGAACATATATTATCATAACTTTTTTGCTATTGAATTTATTTTGTTTTAAACGAAACTTGTTTTGTTTATTACCAAATGTGTCACTAGTATGAAAAAAAAACATTAAAAAACTGATTTCTACAGCCCTGCCCAAAACATTTTTCTCACTACGCCACTGAATAAAACAATACTTTTGCTCTTGTTTTAATCAAATTTTATTTGTTTTCAATAGTATTATTGTTAAATCAACAAGATTATTTTCAATTAAAATTACTGTTGAAACAACATTATGTTTTCCAGTGTACACTCTAAATCATTTGTAAAATATGTAAATGGTTTTTCCAAGTGTTCACAAGTGTTTCCTCTAGCGTTATTGATGGAAAAGGCTCTGTTTGCCTACAAATTGATTGCTTATAGTACCGTTTGCCTACATATTTAGCAACATTTTGTTTGCGCACAAAAATTATTGCCTGCATGCACTATTGCGCACAAATATTAAATTAAGAGAAAAAGTGTGTACACACGACACTATTGCGCCTAAACTACATTGCACACATAATATTATTATCTATAGATCGATTACCTATAAGCACTTTTGCGCACAAATATAAAATTAAGAAAGTACGTTTACACATATATATATCATCCCTAGTATTGTGTGTGCAAACATACATTTTTCTCTTAACATTTGTGCGCAATAGTGTATGTAGACAGTCGAGTTACGTTGTAGGCAATCGAGTTGTAAGTCGTTTTATTTCTTATTATAAATCCGAAAATGCAATACCATATATTAAAATATTACAATAAAAATATTTGTAAAAATAATTGTAATATATGCATACTGCATTTTCGAATTTATAATATATTTAAAATTTATATATGGTTTTGTATTATTATTATTATATAATAAAACCACTATATTTATTTAGCATTATTTAATACGGAAGATATTAACTTTTATTTTTTTAATAATATATCTTGTTTTATATATAAATTAAATTTCAATGCAAGAAGTTGCGATTACATTTCGATGTTGTTAAATTTCCAAGTACTTATAAAAATTTGGAATGTATGCTGCAAATCCTATTAACATTATTTGAAATGTACTTTGAATATTGTAAATGCTTGAAGCTAATAGAAATAATATAAAATAGAACTCTTCCTCCTATTAATTTAACACATATTTGTAAAAGCATTTATAATGGGTTACATTTAAAGTAATATACATAGTTACAGAAGAATGATTCGTGTGTATAGATTATGATAGATGTGTTATGTATATACATATGCATCTATTGAAGAGACCAAAGAAACCTTATGACATAAAGGTATGACACATACACACGTTTATTTGACCTATTACTATTTTATCTATTTTTATTACTACTGTATATACAAAGATAATCCTCAAGCTCTAAGTTAATAATAATTTATTGTAAAATAACCATCCAAATTTTATTGTGTTAATACGACGGATATAAAATGTTTATTGTAGGATTTATAAAACTATGCTTTTTTTCAAAATTCACGAAAAAATGTCTATAATAAAAAATTTGTTGCCGATCAATATAATATCTCATGATAAATTAAATTTCTTTTTTAATGAGAATTTATTATACATTGTAAAGAATTAATATTGAAATGTCTTAGAAATATTCAGTCGCAAATTGGTATAAAATATACAAATAAAAAAAAAAGAAACGTTCCTTTAATGCAATAAATAAAATTAATTTCTATACCAAAATTGAATTACGTATTAACGGTATCCAAAAATGCAGTTACGGTTAGGGAAGATATAATAAAATCGTCTTAAATACGGACAGCAAACGGTACCTTAATGGTCGAGGTAATAGCCACGAGAATGATGATCAATAAGCACTTCATACTTTTACGATTTTCTCCCAAATGATGACCTGATACAGACATTGCAGGTCTGTTTTTTTAACTGCAATCACGATTACGACGTAGCGGTGCAAGAACGATGCGAGAAGTATGTGCAGAAGCCGCGTGTCTGCCCGCGATTTGCGCCGTCGAGTTGTCGTTGAGAGTTGCGTCGGCGCTCTAAATTAAATAAAGTAGCCGTGTATTAATGAATCTATTGCTATAAAGAAGTGTCTTGCAACAAACAATAATATTTAAAATCTACAAATACTTGTATTACTTAACAATAAATAATATTATTTTAAATATAAATTTAAAAAATAAAAACTGGCAATTATTTATTTGTATAATTATTTTGTGTAGTTTCCTTTATTCATATAGAATTCTGATAATAATGAAGCTAAATTATAAAAATAAATTTTGTGTGCATATCCATAGAGCACAGAGAGTTCAAAAATAATTTTTTTTTATTTCTTGTTATACGAAATAATTTCCTATTTCATCCCTTTTCTATTCTAAAAGTATTCTTGAGTCTTAAAAGATTTCACCTGTATTATGAAATTGTGCGAAATAGATTCCGATCAGAATTATTCAATTATTCCCTAAATTTTTATTATGTTTTTTTGGGAAAACAAAGTAATTTCGATTGAAATCTATTTCGAATAATTCCATAATACGTGCCTAAAACATAACATTTTATCTTGTAATTTTTGAATGTCGATTTGATGTTATTAAGTGATATATAAAAGTTTTATATAAAAATGTCAGCATATGATCGCGTGGTTCGACCGTATGAGACACTAAATAAAAAAAAGACTGTTTAGCTTTATTATCTTTCTACAAACAGTACATATTTATTTCGACATGAATTTGTGACGGTTGCATTCGGCAAACTCCGCATCTTCGATCGAGTAATTCCGTTATACTCCCGTTCAGCGAACGGTTGTATATTATAAAAGCTGGGTATATTCTACACTTAAGAACAGTTTCAGCTAAAATGAGGCACGGTGGAAAAAATCACATAAAATGGGTGACATTGACATTGATAACAATCGTTGTCTTCGTTGTTGATGCGACCGTGGATCTTAAAAGAGGCGAATTTGTGACTTATGAAAAAACGGCTAAACAAGATTTTAGAGAGGATTTCAGTAAGAAAGTTTTTTACGTCGGTGATCAAGTGTGGCGAATCTACAAGCACAATGATTCAGTAAATGATTTGGTGGAGCAACACGATCAAAACGGTTGTACATAATAAATAAAATTTATATTAAAATATAAATATTTTATTATATTTCAAAATGATATGTATTACTAAGAGTTTTAGAAGGACAACACTTATAAATAGAGTCTAACAAAATCTTTTTTTTAATGTAGCATATCAAATATGGTCGAACCATCCATTGACAGTCGATATTTTTGTTCGAAGTCAGATGCTTTATAATGTCGATTTGCTATTGAACAATTGCAAAATAAAATATGACGTTTTGATCAAAGATGTGCAAAAAGCAATCGATGACGGGAATGTTCGACTTACAACCGCAATGCAAGCAGAACTCGAAGGACGCAAAGGTTTGGGATTTTATTACAATTGTATTAATTAATTTTTCATTACTTCATTACTTCATTAATTTTTAATTGCTATATCATGAAATCAATATTGCTGTATCATTCAACAATATAATCGCAAGGAAAATAAAAATTTCTTTAAAGATAAATAATAATAACAATACTATTAATGTCTACATATAATAACATTTATTAATATATTCACGCATCGTTAAATGCTTTTAATAATTATTATTAAATACTTACACTTCGCATCATGTTATCGCAGCTTATTATATATGCTTCACAATTAGTCTCGCTTTTTATCATTTTTCTTTACTTTCTTTACTTTTTATAATCTTATTAAAAAAGCAAATCAATCTTTATAGTTATCTTGTTTCATTGATATTCATAAAAGTTACGGAAAAAGCTATTGTTTGGTTAATAATTATTATTAAGAATCTACACTTTGCATCAAGTCATCATTTTTTATCGTTTATGTTTCACAATTAGATATTACTTTTATCTTATCATTTTTCGTCATATTTAGACAATTTTATTAATAATAGAAAAGAAACAATAATCGATTTTCATAACTTGTTTTTCACTTGTTTATGTAAACGGAAGAAGCTATTATTTGATCAATCATGTAATAAAGGAAGTTAAAATGAATTAATTAAAATGAATTAATAATTTCTATTCAGAAATACATTCAAAAATAAATTATTGCAAATGATAGCTTGTTGTTAATTCGGATTAATTAATTTGAATGGTCTCCATTTACTTAATTTATTATTTATTTAAAATTGCAAATTAAATAATTAAAATAATTTTTATAAAAATAAATTTAAGATTCCATTGTTATTATAAAATTAAGATTCCATTGTTTTAATTAAATATCCTCAATTGTGTCTCAATTGAACTAAATTATTATCTGTAATAATTAGTATCTGTAATAATTAGTATCTGTAATAATTAGGACACATCATGTAGAAAATACTGTAAATTGTAAGTCAAACATTGTATATATGAAAGTTATTTTAATGTTGATGTAAACACACTTAGTAAAATTCTTGTCTATTATATGACTTTCAACATAATTCGGACAGTTAATCTAATATTCACTGTAAAGTAAGTTTAGTAATACATTTTATTATTATTTATATGTCGTTATTGGAAAATTGTGTCATTTGATGTAATGCCTATATGTCTTACGTATGAGAGTCATTGTTAAAATCATAAATTAGAATACACATATATTCTAAAAAGAAAAGTTAATATATTAATTAATAATTTCAAATTCTTATACATTTTCAAAGAAAAATAGTTTAATATGAATCGAGGTTATTGACCTGCGTGAATCCCACTTAGTAACCCGGTTCCGTTTCAATGCTGATTAACATTAACAGTTATACTTTACTTATAAGGCGTGTGTAAAACGTGTAGTCTTCGCACGTACGCATTCAGCGATGTTTCGTCGTTTTCTGTGGTCGTTTGTATAGTCCGTCGATATCTCATCTCGATGCCGTTATCCAAGACGGACTCGGCAAGGTTCGGTTTTCATGCAAGAAATTATTACATTTGCAAACAATATTGGAAAAGTCGAAAAATTGCTGAAACTCTTGAAACGCTGAATTAAAATAAATAAATAAATATGAGCATTTGGGAATTTTTATAATGAGTGCATCGCTTCTGTCACCGAGTATTTAGTAATTTTTTAGCTCGTTACGCTTGGTGGCAGGAAGTCAGATATAGATTTCCACGTCCTCGTCCTCTTCGTTATCCTGCTAATGTATATGGTGGGGGTGCTCCGTGGCATTTTAGGGGTGAGCTTTCAGACGCGCATAATCCGTTTCGTCGATTCAAAATAATCAGATTTATATAATGTAAGGAATACCGAAAAAAATATTTTGTAAAATGACAATTGAAAGGAAGAAATGCTTGCTTTGCATTGAGTTAAATCTACGAAGCGGTTGCTATACAAGCTCACAAAGGTACGGAATGTGCAATCTCTGAATAATCTTGAAGATATATCCATTAGGTCATCGTATGGAATGGACCAGCTACCATGATATAAATGACATTCATGGTTACTTGGATTATCTCGCGAACACTTATCCTGATGTCTGCTCCGTTCAATCCATCGGTAAATCCATCGAAGGACAGCCCCTCAAGGTATCCACATCTAATCTATTTTGATATTGACAAAAAATTTGATGTTTAAGATTTTAATATTTTTATAAATGTTAAAAGGTTCTAAGGATTAGTAATGGTAAGACGAAAAATACACCTGCGATATGGATTGATGGTGGAATACATGCTCGGGAATGGATCTCACCGGCAGCTGTGACTTATATCATTGATAATCTGGTTGAAAATAGCGATGATTTACAAACAGACTATTACATTCTGCCAGTTGCCAATCCAGATGGCTACAGATATACGTTTCAATACGATCGTTTATGGAGGAAGAATAGAAGGAAAGGCACTTTTTGCTCTGGCGTAGACTTGAACAGAAATTTTGGTTATCGCTGGGGTGGAAAGGGAACTAGCAGTAACATGTGCTATGAGACATACCGAGGTTCTAAAGCATTTTCCGAACCAGAAACTGACGCTATTCGAAATTTCTTCGATAATAGTTTAGCAAATATCAAGGTTAGTTAAAATATTTTGTATAAAAATCAGTTAGTTTGTATTTACTTTGTATTAATTATTTTATTCTTTTAAATATATCAATTATAGCAATGCTGTTAGCAACCATTCTTAAACTAATATTGTAACCATAATAATATTTAGATCATAAAAAAATTTTCCTTAATTCAAGATGTCTCACAAAAAACATATGTATATCCATATTTTTATAATAACGTCTTAAAACAATCAATCCACGGACAATTCAATCTCAGAAATTGACTTTATAAATTTTGAAATATTCCTTTCATGTAGCACTTCATTATTTTTTTCATGCAGGCATATGTATCATTTCATTCATATGGCCAATATATTTTATATCCGTGGGGATATGATCAGCGTTTGCCGCCTGATTACCGAGATCTTGATGCGGTAGGGCTTGAAGCAGCTAAATATATGAAATACGAAGGAGGCGATAATACAGAGTATACCGTCGGAAATAGCGCGATAACGTTGTATCCTGCTGCTGGCGGTTCTGATGACTGGGCTAAAGCTCTGCTCAAGATCAAGTATGCATATACGATCGAACTGCGGGACACTGGAAGACATGGCTTCCTACTGCCACCTCAGTATATTATTCCGACAGCCAAGGAAGCACTAGCCGCAATAAAAGTAATCACGAGTGCTATCAGGAAATAGTAAATAAATTTGTAAAATATATTTGATTGGAGAATTTGATTAGAGAAGTGAGTCTTTCAATTATTTGCCTTTCTTGCTACTGTATTTTATATACTGTATAAAAGTCTAAAAGAGTCTTTAAATTTTATCATTTGGATAGTGCATTGTTATTCAGTTTACAGTTATTCAGTTATATTGTTCTTTTGTGATACTTTATGAATGTATCTTTATATAATCGTTATATAATAATATTATCAATCAATGGCATAAAATCTGAAAACAATTCTTTATAATGCAATAGTTTGGTATCCATTGTATTTAAATTTGTGCTAAAAGGTATAAATTGAAGATATATATTATTCATTTTGCATGTTATTGCATACTGCACATTTTGGATATAATGTGTTTTAGCATGAATTTAATAATTTTGGATTGACTTTTGCCATATTAAATTTATTTTTATAACAATCATATAATTATTCTGTTATATTAACTATTAGATTCAAGAATTATTTTAAGTATATTAACTTAGAATAGGTATATTAGCCAGTACCACTGCGACAAGTATATAAATATTTATAAGATAATTTGTAACTATTATCTGTTAAATAAAAACATAAATAATTATCTTCAAAATGTTTTCTTCATTTATATTATTATTATTATTTTTTCTACTCTAGGTAGATCGGAATAAAAGTCATTATTTATTTAAGCTGCATGTTAATTTCTTATGGAATAATATACAATAATTCGTCATTCAGTATGCATTTAATACATCGTTAATATTGCTGTCATTAATAATTACTGATTTTTTGCTCGATTCAATTATTGAAATAGGATACCTTGGTGTATACGGATGGCACACCTGCAGTATCACATGGAAAAATACTCCAAGATACAATTCCAGATGAAAAACAATTTTTCTCTATTACGCGAAATTAATGAGCCACCACAATCATTCTGAAAATATATTAAAAACTTGATATTAAATTGCTACATTACAATAGACGGTAACAAAGTTATTGACGTTTACTGAATTTATTGAACGTCTGACACTTACGCTGCATGAGGAAGTTGCTTTGTCCGATGGCCCAGTAGATTGGTCTCATGAACAGAAGAAGGAGAAGATGTTGTCAGACTATTAACAGCTTCGTAACATGTTATACGATTAATGTATTCCATTTGAACTTGTTGAAGTTTATCTGGCATTTTGGGGAAAATAAGTTTTATAATAAAATAAGGATGACTTAAGAGAAAGCAAGTAAATTTCGATCAAACAAAATTATGTATTAATTAAAATCTGACCGAAATTTCGGTTTCTGTTTCAGTTTTGGTCAATTTCGGTCAAAAATCAGGGTTTTGGTTTGATTTTGGTTTTGGCTAAAATTAAGAAAAAATTTCAGTGGATAAACCGAAATTATATAAGTTGTAACGCGCCAATAAGCATTCAAAAAACAACTGTTCGATTTTAATTATTAACTTGTTGATTAAACTTAAGATTATTTGAATACTTTGATATGATTCTATAATAACTATGATTTGATTTTTTTTTTTAAAGTTGAGGATGCAAATATTATTATATTATTATAGTTAGATATTTTAATAAAATCTCTCTCTTTTTAAAGAATACATAAGTTTGTCATGTTTTCTGAAAATCATCGGTCTTTGTAGAATTAATAAAAAAATGTCGATTTTGACTCTGGCCGAAAAAAATGTAACTCCGTTAGCTTCTCTCTCTCTCTCTCTCTCTCTCTCTCTCTCTCTCTCTCAAGACTTATTTAAGTTTCGATTTCGGTTTCGAAATTGAATGACAATCAAATATTCGTTTTCGGTTTCGAAATGGTGATCAAAATGTAGTTTTCATTGGATTCTAATATTAATGTTCTTCAGCTTGAGAGAGTAAATTTAAAAGTGAATAAAATATTATTTGTTAAAGTATTATTTGTTAATATACAATTAAAGGAAGTTTTGTTATCAACAACATGTTACTATGCTGCATATTATTTCGAATAATACCAATAATTTTGTTTAATAAATTAATTTTAAATGAATAAGATGTGTACTCTAACATACGCAGGCATAAATTGTTACTGTATGTTTGGATATTCGATTATATAATATTCGATTATATAATATTCGATTATATAAATATAATTCAACCTGACCGTTTAATCAATCAAAAATTATCGATGTCTTGTTATATCAACAGAAATTTAGAATGCTGATTCAACGTCTTTTTAACTAATTATTTCTCACTGTGCATTGAAATATATAAATATATTTAAGAAAATAAATTTGTCATTGTTACTTGTTAAATAAAATAAATAAGAATGTTTTTCGTCATAAATGTTTGGTTTATCCAATAAAATTCCTATTTAGTTTTTGCGTCATGTAGGATAAAAATAAAAAGATATTACTTCTAACTTATGCTGGACATTTATTTTATGTTAAATAATATGTAACAATTCCATATTCAGTATTATACATTCATACATCGTTGATATTATCATGAATCTTGCATCTTCTCTGTAATCCAATCAATGTAATTGGATACTTTAGCGAATACGGATGGCATGCCTGGACTACCACAAGGCATCATACCCCAAGATACAACTCCACTAAGCTCCCATTTTTGTTCCTTAAAGGAGGCTAGTGGACCACCAGAATCACCCTAAAAGTATATTGAAAACGATACATTAAATTGCTATATTAATAGATGATGATGAAATTACTATCATTTATTGTATATCTGATACAATAATTACGCTGCAGAGAGAACGAGAGCGAGAGCGAGAGCGAGAGCGAGAGCGAGAGAGAGAGCGAGAGCGAGAGCGAGAGCGAGAGCGAGAGCGAGAGCGAGAGCGAGAGCGAGAGCGAGAGCGAGAGCGAGAGCGAGAGCGAGAGCGAGAGCGAGAGCGAGAGCGAGAGCGAGAGCGAGAGCGAGAGCGAGAGCGAGAGCGAGAGCGAGAGCGAGAGAGAGAGAGAGAGAGAGAGAGAGAGAGAGAGAGAATCATAGGAGATTTATTAAACATAATTTTAGTATAAAGAAAAATTTGCTGCATAGAGACTAGCTCAGAATTTTAGTATTTATTTCACAATTAGTATTGCTTAATAAAAAATGTTTAATTTTTAAGTATAATATCTTACTTTAACATATAACCAAAATATAACGAAAACAGTAACGAATCGTTACTTTCTAAGGAATCGTAACAGTAATAAGTTATTAGGTGTTGGAATTAATTCGTAGCGTTTTACAAGTGATGGGAAGTACTTTCATTAATGTATTTTTTAATGCTCATGTGAAATAAATAACATTCTTTCATTAAAAAACGCTACGAATTAATTCCAACACCTAATACTTTTACAAAAGTACGTATAACGGCATTGCATAATTTTTATGAAGTTCCCAATTTAATCGTAATATGATTGATTGTATAAAAAGCAATTTAAATGCAAATTCATAAATGAAATGTATTTTAATAGATTACAATTTTGTTTTAAAATAAACTAAACAGCCATATATAGACAACTAAATAAAAGTATCAAAAATATTAAAATAAGTTACAGTCATTTAAATTAAGTAATACAAAAACTAGGGTTACACTGTAAAATTATCGGATATCGGATGTTGGATATTCGAAAAGAATGTAAGATCGGATATCCAATATCTGGTCAAATATCCGAAAAGGCAATTTTTCGAGTCAAATATTTGATATTTTCTGAATATCCGACCGGATTCTGAGAGAATGTTTTTTAAGAAAAAACTGTAGAGAAAATAATTATAATTTTGCAATATATAAGTTATTATATAACACTATGAGTATATGCATACTTATTAATAGAATATTTATATAATAAAAAATCAACAATTTACTGATATGAAATTTCAACCAGATATATTCCCGAATACTAATAATATCCGACTATCCGATTGGATAGTAAAAAAATATCAGATAATATCGGATACCGAATATTCGGTACATCTCTAATAAAAATATTTAATTTTCGACATTTATCGATAAGTACGGAAAGATAAGATACGAAATTTGACATCTCTTCAACTAATCTTTTCTTATTGTTATCTGTTATATAAAATAAATAGGAATAACAATGTCTTTGGTCATAAATATCCTATTTGTTCAATAAAATTTCTGTTTAATTTTTGCATTATGTAGAATAGGAACAAAAAGATGTTACTCCTAATTTATGCTGGATATTTATTTCAAGTAACATGTAATTCTTTATTTAGTTTTATACATTCATGCGTCATCAATATTGTCATCATCAATTACGCATCTTCTGCGCAATCCATTTATTGAAATTGGATACTTTCGTGTATACGGATGGTGCACCTCGAAAACCACATGGTATCATACCCCAAGATACAATTCCAACAAGCACCGGTTTTCCATTGATAATCTTAAATAGTGGACCACCGGAATCACCCTAAAAGTATATTAAAAATAATATATTAAATTGCTACATGAATTGCCAATACTATCATTCATTGAATTTGCTGAATATCTTGCACATACGCTGCATGAGGATTTTCTGTTCGGTGATCCAGTGCAGATATTGGTGGTTTTATCAAGAGAAGAAGACCTCGTCAATTTAATGATGGTTTGGTTGCAAGATTTAAGATCCATAATTTTCAACATAACATGTTGAAGTTTATCTGGCATTATGGGGGAAATACTAGTTGAAGTGGATCCCCATCCACAAAGCCATACATTTCCGGTTGGTATACTGTTTGGTTGAGCTAATTTGATAGCTTGTACGTTCTTATTCATCTTCAATGGAGTTGCAAGCTTAAACAGAGCAATGTCATATGGACCAACACCACTGAAAATTAGAAAATGTGTATCGTAATGTATGTATATATAAATTATACTTATCAATTATACAATTTAAAAAATATAAGTGTTTAAGCTAACGTATTAATACGTAAAAAAGAGATTATAGTATTAGTAAAAGGAATAGTAATAACTTGCAAAATTAATAGAATATATGTGTATATCATAACAAATCTCAAAATATAATTCGTGCGTCATTACTTATTTATGATAGTTTTTAATATCATATTTTTAATAGTAATCAGATATAGTTTTTTAATATCCTAAGTATATTTCAATGCTAGTCATGATATTCATACAAATATTGCGACATTACATTAGTAATAATTGTTTCTTATTATTGTACACTTATTTTACAAACAAAATAGCTGATTATTGATGCAAGAGCTATTATGTTTTAGATTATCTCTATATACGATTAAAAATTAATTATAAACACAACATTAATTATATATTAAACAAATATTATTCGAAGATAAATTAATTTAATTGTTTGTATTCACTGCTTTCAGCGTTTCACTTACCCTTTATATTTTTCATGTATGTACACTTTTAACACTTTCACTGTCTGTTCGGCAGCCTCCTTAACTTTAAGATTGTTTTTACCAGCCTTGACGGTAATACGGCTAGCGGAAATTCCTTTACCACAATGCGCTGCTGATAGAACCCATAGTTTGTTCAGGATAGATGCGGCACAGAAATGCTTAGGTTGACGGCCCATCGCTAGTTGAAGGGAAACTATAAATGGGTATTGTCCCGTCGCAGCAGGTTTACCTCCAACCACACGAGTCTCAAACGAAGTTGAATCCGACGTGTCATCTGGAAGCCGATTCGGGACTGTACTACAATTCAAATTAATAGATAGAATTTATGAAAACACATTTGCGGAAGAAGTTGATTATAGCACATCAAAGCTAACTCTTTATAATATTTTATTATAATATTTTAGAAGAGAATTTTTAATTAGAAATTGAACTTTGTTACTTGCTTCGTAATTCGTATATAATACAATAATTTAGTCATTTGTTTAATAAATTTAAAATTCTTTAATTAATAAGAGGAATTTTTTATAGTGTCTTGGTGACTATTTTTTAAATTGAATACAAATTATACATATGTTATATAAATCGAAAAAATTGACTTACTAGCGACCGCCATGGCTAGGAAAGCAAAGAACACGATAGCTTTGGAATACATTTTGCTGTTTAATGACAATCCCAAATAGAATAGACCGCATTTTATACTCTTCTTCGCGGGTGCAACTGTACGCTGACAAACTATTATTATCTACGGCAATTAATCATTATATTTTTACAATACGAAAAATTGTATTCCAGATGATACTTCTTTATGACTTGACGTGTATTAATTGATATAAATATTGAACTATACGACATAACACAGATGATTTATATTTGTACAAAATAATGCTGTTAGTCATATATATTGTACATCTCAATAGCAATACTCTAGTATAAAATTGCTTCTATAAAATTAGATATACTGATTAGATATATTTATATAAGTGCGCGCATAAATTCACAGTTTTTATTCAGAATGTAAACGTATTTATTTATTTTTACGTATTTATTTATTTTTAGTATTTAAAATTTAATTTATTCAAGCATTTAACTTAATTAAGTTTTATTATATAGTCTCCATTAATAAGAACAAAGATATCCAAATAAATATATATAATATGTTATAGAATGCATATAACAAAATTATTAAAGAATAATTTAATTATTCTGATAATGATTTAACTTTAAAGTAAATTAAATTTTAAAAAAAGCCACAAAACTGAAGTAAATTACAGTTGTAACGTTGAAACATTCTTTAATTAATTAAGTTGCAAATCCTATTATGACTCGTACAATAGATAAATAACAGATAAAAATGTATTACAAATACGTAATATTAATGCATCACTCGTATCTTAAATGTATATTAAACACTCGACACATTAAATTGCTATATTAATAGAAGATAACAAAGCTATTGTCTTTTACTGAATTAACTGAACATTTGACACTTATTATAGTCATTTAAATCAAATAATACAAAAACATTTAATTTTCAATATTTGTTTTGAATATGAAAATTTGATGTCTCTTCAATTAACCATTTCTTACATTGAAACTGATGTGTATATTTCAGAAAATAAAAATTTGTTATTATTATCATCTGTTAAATAAAATAAATAAAATTTATAATGTCTTTTATCATGATGTCTAATAAAATTTCTGCTTAGTTTTCATGTAGGATAGGAATAAAAAAAACATTACTTTTAATTTATGCCGAATATTTATTTTGTATTAAATAATATATAATAATTTCTCATTCAGTATATACATTCATATATTGTCAATATTGCTATCAAACATAACTGAAATTTGAATTAATTTTCTTTGCAATCCAGTCATTGAATTTAGATACCTTCGTGTATACGGAGGGCGCGCCTAAAGTACCACATGGAACAATACCCCAAGATACAATTCCAGTAAGCACCGATTTTTTTCCGTTATACGAAATTAATGGACCACCGGAGTCACCCTAAAAGTATATTAAAAACAACGATACAACAAATTGTTGCATTAAAAAACGGTGACAAAGTTATTATTATTCACTAAATTTACTAAATGTATGGAACTTACACTGCATGCTGAAATTTTATTGTACAGTGGCCCAGTGCAGATATTAGTTTCATGAACGGGAGAAGATCCCGTGAGACGTTTGACGGATTCGTGGCAAGTAGTGCGATTGATGTACTCTATTTTAACATGCTGAAGTTTATTTGGCATTATTGGATAATTGGTAGTCGAGATAGATCCCCATCCACAAAGCCATGCCTTTCCAGTTGGTTCACTTTCTGGAGGTGCTAATTCGATGGCTTGTACGTTATTGTTTAACTTCAATGGAGATGCAAGCTTAAGTAAACCAATGTCATATGGACCTATACCACTAAAAATTAGAATATACAATTGCAATATATATAAAAAATGTGAGAAAGTAAAATAAAATTATAGAGAAATTCTGAAAAATTATATAGAAATTCTAAAAAATTATATAAAAAATTCTAGGAAAAATTTTCATCAGGGATATGTTTCTACAAATGCATAATTAATTAGTATATAATTATATATATATATATAATATATTATAATTAATATATTATAATAATATATGTAATAATATATGTATATATCAATGTATTAATACTAAAAAAAAATTGTAGTATTAGTGGAAGAATAATAATGATTTGGAAATTAAATCTTGAAAAATAATCTGTATATTATTTATTTAAAATATATAGTTTTCTAATTCCAAGTATCAAATGCTAATCGCAATATTAATATCAATGCTGTGACTACTACTAATCGCTATTTCGATTATTGTACTCATTCTATAAAAATAGTGTTGATTACTAATACAAAATTATGTTTTAGATTACCTTTATATACAATTAGAAATCAATTATAAATAGAACATTGATTCTATATTAAACAGAAATCATTCATATAAGAATTAATTGAATTGTTCATACTTACTACTTTCAATTTCTGCTTACCGTTTATAATTTTCATGTACATAAGCTTTCACTACTTTGACTGTCTGTTCGGTGTTTTCTATAAGTTGAAGATTGTACTTTCCAGCCTTGACGCGAAGAATGCTTAAGGGAAGAATGCTAGGAACGCTGTTAATACAATGCCCTGCTGTTATAATCCATTTTTCATTCAAGATGGATCCAGCGCAAAAGTGTTGGGAGAATATTTGGAGGGAAACTATGAACGGATAACTTCCTACTCCTGCTTCTTCACCTCCAACCACTTGTGATGAGATTGAGCGATTAAAAGGTGGGAAAATAGGCGGCATCCGAAGACCGATTTTAGGTCTCTCTAAAATATAAATTAATATTTAAGAAAACATTCGCGAAGAAGTTAATGATAGCACGTCGTCAGCTCTTCATGAAATTAGAAGAATTTTTAATAACATAATTAGAAATTTTGTTATTTGCTTTGCAGTACATGTAACAATACAATAGTTTAGTTATAATATTTTTTAATAAAAAGTTCTTTTACAATGTTCTAGTAACCATTTTGTAATCTTACCTAAATATAAATTATACACTCAGAGTGTTTCAGATTTAACACACTACGTAATGGTAGATTTCTGAAGTCATTTTGAAACGAAAATTTAATACCATAATGTTCAAGTTAAATATTTTTTTTTATATAATAAGTATCCATTAAAAATATCAGTAATTTTATTTTCGCATATGTTATATTTACATCGATATTAATAAAAGATAACTATTAGTTTTTACATTTAACACTTTATGTTGTATTATACCTAAATGAGCAAATTTTAGACAATACACTGAAAAAAAAGATTGGTTGCTGCAACAATTTAGATAGTAAAATATGGCATAGCACTTTTATATGGCTGCAGCAACCAATTTTTGGTATATAGCAGCAATTTTTTTAATTTTTAGCCTATCGTTAGCCTATCGAAATCATACTGACATGCGGATAGGCTAATACAACTAAAAATTTGCTGCTACAATCAAAAACTTATTGCTGTCATATAAAAATGCTACGTCATATTTTACTTAAATATATATTTTATTTAAATTGTTGCAGCAATCAATCTTTTCTTTTAGTGTATAATTTGCTAGTTTTAAATAATTATAATTCAAAAACCATTAGTCTCGACATTTTTGGTATTAGAATTTTAGTCTCAAAATAATTTGAAAAATCTGTCAAGTGGTTAGATCTGAAACACTCTTTGTATGTATATATATATATATGTATACATATATCAATAAAATTGACTTACCAGCGATCGCCATAGCTAGAAAAACAAAGGATACGATAGCTTTGAAATACATCTTGCTGTTTGACAATCCTATGAATGGATCGCATTTTATATCCGTTTCGTCGAGTACATTCTTACGATATCAGTGATGATATGCTGATAAGCCATTATTATCTATGAGAATTGATCACAATACTTTTACGATAAAAAAAATTTTATTCCACATGACTTCTTCGTATTTTTATGTGTATTAATTATTAGTTATAAATATTAAATTATAAGGTATGACACAAATGATTTATATGAATAATTTATGCAATATTGTTAAGTTCTATATTATATACTTCAATAACAAAATAATCTGCAATATACAATGGCTGTTATAAAAAATTAGATATACTGAAAATGCATAAATTTACAGTTTTTCTAAAGAATGTAGATATATTTACCCATATCTAATACTTAATGTTTAATTTATTTAAGTATTGAACTTAATTAATTTTTTTCACAAAAGTATCATCGAAAATAACAAAGATATCCAAACAAAATATAAATAATGTTAAGAAATTAATAAAAACTAAAAATAAAGCATAATTTAATTATTCTACTGATGATTGAAAGATTAAAATAAACTAAATATAACAAATGTAAACAAAATTATGCTAAATAAAAAGCGGTAATAAACAATATTACTAAAAATTTAATGAATTTTTTTATTCGTTATTTGTTTTCATATTATTTAATTGGATTCTAAATAAATTGATGTATCATTATAAACTAATTAATAACTAAATATAAGTAATAAATTATGAAACATTCTTCTAGTTTTAATTAGTTAAACTGTAAGTCCTATTATGATAGGATCATATATTAATAGATAAAGTTATTGTTACCTAAAATCGATTTTACCATTATTTATTTTCTTTTATAATTATGCAATTGTTATTTGTCTGAAACTTTTTCCCGAAAATTCCTTTCTTTTAACATATATAATCGACTATATTACTTAAAATAAAACACCTTGTATATGTTAACTTTTAACTATATGATTTGCGTATTAAAATATGTATTGTAGATGAACAAATTAGTGTTATTAAAATAGATATACGTATATATTTAAAATAATAACGTGATTATGTTAAATAACATAAAAACATAAACGTAAAAATAACGTAAAATAAAATAAAATAAAATAAACGTAAACATAAAAAGTAAAAATTAATTAATAAATTTTGCCATAAGTGTTTTGTTCAATCAATCAAGTTACTGTTAATTAATTTTTATTTTTTAAATAGGAAAGGAATATAAAACGTTATTGTTATATGCTGCATATTTATTGTATTTTACATTAAATAATATATAATATATAATAATTAATAATATATAATGCGTCATTCAGTATGCGTTGATATCGTCAATATCGTCATCATTAATGCATTAATTATTCATTTTTTTCTCAATCCATTCAATGAAACTGGATACTTTGGTGTATATGGATGGCGCTCCTGTACTACCGCATGGAATAATACCCCAAGATACAATTCCAATAAGAACTGGTTTTTGTTCAATACGTGAAATTAGTGGGCCACCGGAATCTCCCTAAAAGTGCATTAAAAACTCAATATACATGTATATTAAATTTATATATTAATAAACAATGACAAAACTATTGAAGCTCATATAGCTAAATTTATTAAACATCTGTATATCACTTACACTGCATGCTGAGATTTGATCGTACAGTGGGCCAGTGCAGACATTGGTTTCATGAACGGGAGAATATCCTATTAAACGTTCGATGGATTCATGACAAGTAATGAGATCGAGGTATTCCATCTTAACATGCTGAAGTTTGTCTGGCATTATTGGATAACGATCAGTCGAAATGGAGCCCCATCCACAAAGCCATGCCTCTCCAGTTGGTTCACTTTCTGGCGGTGGTAATTCGATGGCTTGTATTTCTTTCGTTAACTTTAATGGAGTCGCAAGCTTAAGCAGAGCAATGTCATATGGACCAACACCACTAAAAATTAGAAAATTTGTGTATAGTATATATACATATATAATATAGTATATATACACATATAATGCAATATATATGTGTGTGTGTGTGTGTGTGTGTGTGTATTTATTAATTACAAATTTTTTAAATGCATTGCTTTTAAACTAATAATGAAAAATTATAGTATTAGTGGAGGAATGATAATAATCTACAGTCAATAGAAATATTAAAACATAAAAGATTTTAAGATTGAAAATAGGTCATCGTTTATCTGAAATATAACATTCTAATCGTAAATATCAAGTGCTAATCATGATACTAAATTATCTTTCTATATAAAAAAAGTTACAAGTGAATTATAAATAAAACATTAATTATACATGAAATAAATATTTATTCTTATAAGGACATTGTCTAACATCAATTTATAACACGCATGTGAATAGTCATTTCTGACGTATTTTTGTTTGCTGAACACAAATTTGTTGACGAAATTTAATTAGCGCGTTACAATTTTGAGAAAAATGGCGAGGAAAAAATGACGATTTTTAAGTTGTATATCCAGTACCAAATTTTTTCAAAATTTCATTCAATGCAAAATTTCATGCGAAACGTTAACTTTTAACTTTAAAATGCATTATAGTTTTTTTTTTATATAATTTTTTATTTTCGAAGTAAGTATGTCATTTTGAAATAGTTCTTTCCTATGCAATCATCTCATCCGCTTATACATATAGGTATCTGCATATATATGTCTCGAAAGTGAAAAATCAATAAGAGACAAATCATAATAAATTTTACAGCTCCAAATTGATATAATCAAGTGGCATTAATAAAATTTAGGAAAAAATTTGGTATCAATGTTACGAACGTCATGAAAATCTTCAAAATAATTGTTGTAATGTTTTGCTTTTTTAATGCCTCAGAATATTTGCGATGTGTTAACCAAATTTTGTCAATGGATTCGTATTCAGCAGGCAAAAATATGTCGAAAATAATTACTCATATTCGTGTTGCAAAAGAACTCAAATTTTGTCAGAAATGGAGTTAATTGAATTATTCGTACTTATTGCTCTTTAACGTTTTACTTACTCTTCATAGTTTTCATGTATGTAAGCTTGTGCCACTTGAACTGTCTGTTCGGTGCTTTCGTTTTTTTGAATATTGTGTTTACCGACCTTAACGCGAAGAAAATTTAAAGAACCTGCATTAGCACAGTGTGCTGCTGTTAGAATCCATTCTTTGTTTATAATGGATCCAGCGCAGAAATGAGAGTTAAACATTTGAAGGGAAGCTATGAACGGGTAATATCCTACTGGTGCTTCTTCACCTCCAACCACTTGTACTGAGATCGGACCAGTAAAACGTGGTAAAATCGGTGGCATCTGGAGACCAACTCGGAGCCTCTCTTAAATTTGAATTAATAATATTTAAGGTAATACATTTGCAATAAAAGTTGATTATAAAACATAAAGTTCTAAAAAAAACTAAAAATAATTCTCTATGAAATAAGTTAGAAGAAATTGTAATGATATTAAAAACTGAATTTTGCTGTTTGCTTTATAATCTATGGAACAATACAGTAATTCAATTATTATTTATTTAATTAGTTTGAGAATATTTAATAAAAAATTTTTTTATATATTGTTTTTGTACTTATTTCTTAAATAACTATATAAATTTTATATACACATACAAAATGTGTGTATCATGTAGACATGACTCAAATGTGAATTTGAGTCATAAAAATTATCTTAAGAAATTCATAAATATTAGTTCTATCGGATTTTGTTTTTAAGTTGTATATACTCTTTTTCGTTTTTGTTAATTGAACTTGTTGCCACAATGAGCTAGCGCGTATTTTGTAAATGCAGTGTAAATGAACTCTAACGTTAAAGAGATATTGATATTTTTCCCATTTCTTCACTTTTAGAGTTCATATACTCCGTGTTTACAAAATGTGAAATAGCCTTTCAACAATTTAGCAAGCTCTTCTATTCTCATTACAAACTGCTCTAGTCTAGCATTTTCGCACTTCTCGCATCTTTGCATCTTATTGATTATATTAGTAAGACAAAAATGTGAAAATGCTATGCTAGTTCAAGTTTTATAACGAGAATTAATAAAACCTGAAAATGTCTGTAACTTAGAAATGAAATCAGATAGATAAATAAACTTTTTGTGTTATTTCCATGTTCTGAATTTATTCCTGGAGTTATGCCCATATATTATAAAACGTTCTATGTACATATCAAATAAATCGAGAAAATTAACTTACCAGCGACCGCCACTGTTAGGAGAGCAAAGAACACGATTGCTTTGGGAAACATTTCGCTGTATGATGTTAATCCACAAAATTGACTGCATTTTATACTCATTTCGTTGAGTTTAACAGCATATTATCAATAAAGATGAGATGATAATTTATCATAATCTACAGAAAATTACAATACGTTTACGATAAGAAGAATTTTATTATTTACGTGATCTTCTTTGTGTATATGATTGATATAAATATTGAATTGAATGGCACGATTGACGCAACTAATTTAAACAAACGATACAACTAATCTTATACATTACGTATTATTTAATTACACTTTATATTTAAGATTTAATTTATATATTTACTTAACTCAATTAGAAAAAAAGCGTCCATTAGTAAATCAAACAAAGATAACTATATAAATAAAATAATAAAATTAAGGCATACATGTATAAAAATCAATTAATAAAACATATTCTTATTATTTTAGTTATAATTTAAAAATTAATTTAATTTAACAAGACTTAACAAATGTAACAATAATGAAGAATATTAACACAATTAATCTTTCTTCTATTTTATTATTATGTCTCGTTATTGTTTAAGTCGCGATCTTAATGTGCTAATTAAGCATAACATTTATTTAAGTAATAACAATAAAACATTCTTCAATTAATTAAGCTGCAAATTATAATAAATCATTCAGTAGATAAACTTGTATTACTGCTACCTGATTACGATTAATCATTAAATGAATTAATCATTAAATGAATCATACAAAAAGGTATAAAAAGAATGCGGAAAATCAATAATTTAGTGTATGATATATCGAGTAGATTCATTTATTTATCTGTCAAGATTGTCTGTTTCACATTTTAACGTAATCCAAATAAACAGTTTAGATAAAGAATAAAAACATTGTAATTATGGAGGGGATATGTACATAAAAGACTAAAATACCTTTAAGCAAAATATTTGTTTATTTCTTTCTTTTGATCGTTTTCAATGAACCACTCCATGCTGTGAGTAGAATTACTAAATCGTACATCACAAATAATACAAATAATTTCATTTAACTCAAATATTAATTAAATTAATTAACACGAAAACAAGAATATATATTTAAGTTAACATCTCATATTAATATTTAAATGAAACGATGTAAAAGTTCTTTGGAAAAATTAATATCATGATAGTAAAAAGCTTTATGATAGATGATTAATAATGAAAGAATATAAAGAGCAATAAAAGTATTAAATTAAAAAAGTTATTATCCGATATCAAAGTATTTCCTAATATCGAAGATAATATTCTCATTGTTAAAAAAGACTGCGCATTTGATGAAATCAATACTATGAAATTATACGTTTTATATGACGATACTCTCTTTTATTATTAAACATGGTATAGAATAAAAATTATTTACATTATATTTATTCTATCTCTCCTTTATAATTTTTTAGAATTCTGCAACACTCTATATATATTTTGCATTCTTTATTTTTTGCTTGTTTTAGATTCTATATAAATAATATTTTACAACATGAATTTTTAATTAATATTAATAATAGTTATATTTGCAAGAGTTGACCGAATAATTTTAATCATGTCAGAAGTTTCTTATTGTTTTACAGGAATAAAAATTTTTTGTTATGATTTATCTTATTTTATTATTAATCTATAATAATTTTCATGAACGTCATTTATTTATTTTATATCTTAGTATTATTCCATTATTTGAAAGATTATTGAAATATTTGATATTTTTGATAATGTATTAACGTTCGTATAATTATATTTATTAAAAGAGAAGATAAATAAAAATACCAATATTACAATTATTTCCTTTCTCTAATATTAACTTTAGTAATTGATTTATGAATGTACCCTACTTAAATTCACTGTACAATGTAATTTACAACATTAATAAAAATTTATTTTCATCTATTTAAGGAACTTTGAATTAAAAACTAAAATTAATACTAGAGAATTAAATTTTTTAAATTATATTGTATATTTACATAAATTATGATATAGGCTAAAATAATAAAATAATGCAATAAATTTTCTTTAGCTAGAATTTATTGAAATTTTTAGTGTATAATAATTAAGACAAAAAGCTAAACTGTTATTATTCAGTTATTTATTTATTTTTTTTTATATTATATATAGGATTAAATATCGGTTCGGATAAAGAATTTATAAATAAATTTATAAATAATTTGTTTATTTATAACAATTTTTTTAGCATTATAAAATGCAACATTATTATCCTTAATATTATTTGACTAATTTTATTAATTAGAAATCTTTTCTTTAATTTATAAATTAACATTTTTAATATTTTAATATATAGAGTTATATTTAAATAATTAGTAAAAAATGACGGAAGACGGATTAACGAGATTATGTATTAATAATATTTTGAATGTTAATTATTACTAACAATCCATATTATCTTTTTAATCCAAATAGTGTAAGAAGCTACGCGAGTGTAGACAGAAGGCTTGTGACTGATACCGCACGGGTAGGTTCCCCATGAAGTAATTCCAACTAGAGTAGGAACGTTGTTTTCAAATTGGACCAATGGACCACCAGAGTCACCCTACATGAAAAGTATTTAATTATTAAAGATATTGTACGAAAAGCATATTTTATATTTAATTATCTAATTCTCTTTGTTATAATACTAATAACAAATTTAGACATGTAATAGTAATAATTATATCTATATAATATATGCATATTATATACTATACATTATAAAACATAACTTTACAATACTTTTAAACGGATTAAAATTAAAATCTAGTGCCGTTTTGAAATGGATTAACAAAATAACTGATTAACGGATAATACAATTAATATTAGATAATAATAACATTAGATAATTCTCTAAATTTCTTAAAGTAAAATCTCTCTTCGAAAAAGTTAAAATACTGCCACTATTGAAAAAAAAGTAAAAAATTTACATACAGAAAAAAATAGCTTAAATTTAAATAAATATTTATTTGAATACTGCCAAACATTTACTTATATATTTATAATAAATATATATTTATAATAAATAAATATTTACTTAATAAAAAGAAGTAATTGTTAAATCAAATTAATATTTTTGTACTAAATAAATATATTTTTATATTTAATAAATATTTAGTTGGTACTATACAAATAAATATTTATTGAAATTTAAGATATATTTTTTTTCAGTACATTTTTGAATAAGAGGAACAAATTTTCATTCTTTTTTTGAAGTGAGATTTTACACTTTTAGAAGATGAGATTCACTTTAAAAAATTTCTTTCCTTTGAAATGAATCTAATTCCAAAAAAGAAAAATGAAAATCATTCTTATTCAAGACTAATCCTTTTGAAGTGAGATTTCACTCTAAGACATTTAGAAAATATAAAATCGAGAATGAATATTCTTTTTTTAATCACACAATTATAATTGTAGTACTACGTTTATGTAATTAATTGCAAAAAAACAAGAAAAAAGTATAAAAAGTTTAAATTTTATTTACAGAACAAGCAGATATTTCATCAATAGCGGCAGTGCAGATTTGTGAATCGTAAAGTTGCGGTGCATTATAACTTTTCGAGAACTCATCTTGACAAGATTTACTGTCCAATAATGGAACAGTAACTTTTTGGAGAACGTTGGAAAGCTTTAAAACCGATGTCTTGGAGACGGAGCCCCATCCAGACAGTATAGCATTTCCAACTTGTACCTCGTCTTGTTCAGGTAATTTGATAGCGGATACCCACTTGTTAAAAGTGAGAGGAGTTTTAAGTTTAAGAAGAGCGATGTCGTATGGTGCAATACCTCTGTAAAAAGCAATACAATAACATTTAAAATATTGTAATCACATTTCAGACTCATTATCAGTTGAAAAACGCAGATACCAAAGAATTTATTAAAGGAATAGTGATAATTTAAACCATGACATACATTGCGAATTGTAAAATGATTGCGTATGATATCTAAGTACGTAAATATTTTTATAAATTCTCTTGGAAACAATTAAATCTATATTTATCTACCATATTTCAAAACTGTTTTAGTATTTTAGATATAATCTACATTCGTAATCCCAATATTTTAAAATATTTTAGATAAAATCTACATTTGTCGTTTTACAATATTGATTAATTACTAATATTTTTAATTTACATATATATACACACATATATAAATTCATTAATTACATTTTAAATAATATATATAAGAAATTCTTTTTATTATGATATTTTTATAATTAAGTTTTAATTATAATTATTAGATGATTTTATAACAAACGGTTACAAATTATTTAATAAAAAAACTTTAAAGTAATATATCTCAGAAATCAGAAGAATCTGCAACGTAATTTAAAGTATGCGCGTTATTCAAAACTATGAACTATAATTATAAGTAAAATTGAAGTGATCGAAGGTATAATATTTTCTCCAGTTTTATGGAATTCTTGCTGCATTAATTGGAATTCCAATAAATTCAATCAGAAAGGTATCAGATATTTATATAAAATATAAGTTTATATTTCGGAACGCATTTTAGAGATCTTTATGTAATTTTCATATGACTATTCATGATTAAACCACCATGGTGACACCATCTTATGTTCTCCTGTAAAGTCACAAAAAATTTTATGTCTAAATTATTTCTCTCTAAAATGCTTTATTTCCGAGATATAAATTTGTAATACTTTAACTGATTCACTCTATATATTTAAATTTGTCAAGCATTCTAATTGAGATAATTAAAAATTTAATTATTTAACTAGAATTCCAATTCATATGATCAGAATTTGTTTTATTCGTACTTCTTCTTGGTATAACCAGAACACTTTTCCCAATATAGCGTTCTAGTTCCTGAAATATTCATTTTTATCTACAAATAAAAATAATAGACATACCCTGGATAATTTTCGTGCACATAAATCTTAGCAACCTCAATTTCTTGCTGAGTTTCCTCATCTTCAAGAAGATAATACTTGCCAACGATGACCTTAAATTCGCCTTGTATCATAATGCAATGTCCCGCAGTTAAAACAAAACTCTCGTGCACAATCGAACCACCACAAATGTGGCTAAAACGTAATATGGGTGGCAAACCCCATTGAAGAGAGACCTGATAAGAGAATTCTCCTGGTATGGCATTTTCACCATCTGTGATTCTGAGTTTCAGTCCGAAAGGGATGGCCAGACGTGCTATAAAAATGTTTAAGAAAACTTTAAACACATAATTCTTCTAGAAATACAATTATATTAGGTGTTGGAATTAATTCGTAGCGTTTTTAATGAAAGAATGTTATTTATTTCACATGAGCATTAAAAAATACATTAATGAAAGTACTTCCCATCACTTGTAAAACGCTACGAATTAATTCCAACACCTAATATTTTTGCAAAGTTTGAACGTTTCATTTTAATGTTTATAATATATTTAGCGTCGTTCTTGCTTAGATAAAACTGTTTCATAAATAAATCTTTCATTTAAAAGCACATAATATTCTATAGATATTTATTTAATTTTTTATATAATTAATAAGGGAAACCTTTTATATCAAGTGTTTTATTTATTAGATCAGTAATTCTCAAACACAGCATATGTATATTTAGTATATGTATATATTTTAGAAAAAAAATTTCTGTTACACCTGTATATTAATTGTTATATTATAAAAAATTATATATAAAAAATTTAAAACATACAAGCTTTATTTTTATAAAAAATATTATTATATATATATATATATATATAACAATAAGGATGTGCAAAAAATGAGTATTCTTACCATGGAATGCCAGAACAATGAAAAGATACTGAATCAACATTGTCAGTATTCAACAGAAGTACTGAATAAGATCTTACGGTTTATATACTCCGAAATAACAGAAAATATCTCGTGATAAGGTATGCGTGTATTTTGGATTAATCTTGATAACACTTCTTGAACGCATAGATAAGCAAGCATTGTTTTTTAATCATTGATTTGTCTCTTAAAAAAGATTTCTTCTTAATAATTAATCTTCAAGTATATTAACACTAGTCGATTTTTTATCATGTAATTATTTTATGCTAGAAATTCATCTCCATCTTTATATAATAGTATAAAAACACTTTTATTTTTGTTGTATCACGTGTTTTATAATACATTCAAATTAAAATTAAAAATCAAACTAATAACCTGATAGTTTTAATAAATAAAGTAGGACGATTCTTAGTGCACTATTATTTGTACAAAAAAGTATTTGATGCTACTATATAATAAAATAAATAATAGATACATTCATATTATATTATACACATTCTCTTCACTAAACTATAAATATAATTCTGTATACAAATATACTTCACATAATCTACAACAGAAATGTACAAAAATAAACATATCTAAGGCAGTTACAAATTTTTACAATCAGAATATTTCTTAAAACATAATTTTTTATTTAAATTAAGCTATATAATTAAATTTTCTAAAAATCAATCCAGAAAATAATTTTGCATAGGAAACTCAAAATCTATTACAGCACTCCTGTAATTTTTGTAATTTAAAAATTGATGATATTTTAACGGATAATGTATATCCTTCGAATTTTTAATTAAATGTAAGTTTATCTTTCATTATTATCTTTTATAAAAATTAATTTATTTCAATTAATTTATTTCGATAACAATACGAGTGCTAATTTCTCAATACAAATGCCGTATGTACCTACCCTGTCCATTAATGTCTATTGCGTAGAAATGAGAAATGGGTAAAAACCTAAACAACTTGTAATTTATAAAGGTTATTGATTCAGTTATCTGGATTAAAAAGTGAACATTCGAACACTAAGTACGCATTAGAAGTGTAAAACACATAGATTTCATGTGTTGCAGGTAACTAAACGAGCGATCGCTCGGATTCCTGCCCAAATTTCGCGTGCAGTCGGAACTATTTGAGTAGCCGGTAATAGGAATCCATATGTTCCGCGATCACGTAATTCCACCGTGTATGCATACTTTATCGAGGCAACGCCTTTAGCCCAATCGTCAGATGCTCCTACAAACAGAAAAGAAACTCATTCTCTGTGACGTGAAATATTACGAAATGCAAACTATCATCTTATCTTGATGTCTGATTTTCATAACAGCTGTTTATTAAACAAGTATAATCTTTTGTATAAATCTAAAGAGTATACTAAAATTAAAATAATAATATATTAAAGTATGTACCAGAAGTCAGATACATTAGTTCTGTTGCTGGTCCAAGTTGATAATTAGTACCATGAACTTTCGAAATAGCGTTAATTGCCTTTCTCGCTACGTTCATTAAATCGGAATAATCCGATGGTTTCGAACGTGTATAACCCCATGGTACGAGCCACATTTGAGAATAAGAATGCAAAGTTAAGTACATTCTGAAAATTTAGTTATTATTATACAATTAAAATTTTTACATTGAAAATTTAAAATGTATTTGAATGGTAAATTTAAATTAATTAAATGTTAATTTGACAATTACCGAATATGTTGTTTGTTTGCCAAAATATAATCTGCCATAGCCTTCGTTTCAGGTTCGGAAAAAGCGAAAGGCCCGGAATATGTTTCATGACAAGGATCTGAACTGGCACCTCCTTCTTTGTCTTCGCCCCAATGGTATGCAAAATTTCGATTCGGATCAACTCCTTCGCATGTAGTCCAGAACCATCTAGTATAATGAGTTACGAATTGTAATAAATTTGATGGTGTGTATCTAAAAAAGAAAATCATACATTATTTTAGTTAAACACACGCGAAAAACTCTTAACTTTTACAGAGATTAACAATTTAATCTCCTAAAAAGCAAGAAACATTTTGAAACTTTTTAGCAACATTATAGTAATGTTGTAACGTTGCAATGTTATTAAAATGTATCAAAGTGCTTTTTGTTTGGGTTAATACTGGCCAATTTATTACTAAAAAGCAGTAATTATTTATTTGGAGCTAAAAGTACTAAACAACAGTGTCTTAATATTAAAAATCAGTAACTAATTATTGTCTTCTATTATTATCCAATGTTAGATTTATGAAAATTACTTTGTCGTGTAATTGATTAGACATATGATACGATCATATAATAAACTTTATAAAACAATGTCTTCAATCCAAACAACTTTGTTCTTATCTTAAAATCTAAAATCTCATTTTTCGGCACCTAATTTTCAATTTCTCTAAATATAATATATCGCTCTTGATATGTACATATAACACTATCTGACAAAATTTTATTTTTTTTTTTTATTTTTGACATGTGGATTACTATTTTTCAAAAATTTTTGGCCGTTGAATTTGAATCCATGCTTAGAAAAATCGTCACATTTCCGAAAAAATTGAAATAATATAGAAAAAATGACGATTTTGGTCATATTAAGAATGGTATTGCAGTTAAAGAAATTTTATTTTGTTTACACTATCCTAAAGTACTAGTCTTTTACATTTGAAATAAGTTTTTTTTTGTTCCTGTACAATTTTTTATGACCAAGTTACGTAGGTTTAAGCGTACACTGCGTTGTGGCGCACTAAATGTTCATTTTTGGCGCAAGACACACTACAGGGTAGTCTCTTGATCATATATAACTAATAAGTGTCATATTTTGATTTGTGTTTCTTAGACTTGACATTCCGAGGTTAGCAATTGTTAGAAGATCATTCAGCCACAATATATGTTTTCAGAGTGCACCACGCGTAATCAATCTTTGTTACACTCCGAGTAAAAAAATACTTCAGAAATGATATTTTGCAAGTCAAAGACAAAATCAATGTCAGACAGTATAATAAGATCAAGCAAATATTACTGACATTAATCGATTAATTAAGACTGCATACAATTGGGGTGCCGAAGCGAATGTTTCTTTTTCCTCTCCTCACCTACTATCGTTTTGACTTTCCACATGATTACTTCTGGTTTTCCGCCAAAAGCGATCGCTGATATGGCTATATTCATAACCATCAGGATTAACAACCGGCAGAATCATCCAATCCGAGTTATTCAACAATTTTGTGTAGCTCGAGTTCTTCTCTACCAACTGACTTAATATGTAGGTCGCTACTGCGCTACCAATCCATTCTCGTCCATGCATGCCTGCAAAGATGATCACGATTTACCGAAAAGATAATCTAACGGGACGTGTGTAAAACGTGGGAAGCATACGGATTCGATGTCAGTAAAGAACGGTTGACAATAATTTTTATAGTCACAAGTTGTTTATAAAAAAAGTTTTTACGATGTTATTAAGAACAATAATTAAGAGGAAAGTTTTTAAAACTATTTTTATTACATTAATACATATTTATAATTTATTATTTATTATTTATTATTTATTTATAATTATCTTTTAATAGTAGTTAATACTTTTTTTATTTGTATTAAAGGAATGCCTGTCTGTACAAAAGGAACTTACCGGCATCAATCCAAATAGCAGGTTTTCTTTCGCCTTCTTTGTTTAAACCAGTCGAAACTTTCGCCATCTTTATCGGTTGGCCTTCGTAACTATGTCCGATAGTTATTAATTCTACTATTGTGGGATATCTGAAGGCTAGATGTTCTAAATAACGTACGATATCTATTAAAAAGAAAGCCAATTTATTATGTTATTTAATTAAATTCATTAATTTATTTATGTACATACATATGTAAAATATAAATTAATTGATGTTCATCCGAAAAAATTATTTATGTACATCAAATTAAAATTAAAAGCATTAGTGTATTATAATATAAGATACTAAATATTAAACTACATTTCATAAATTAGTATTAAACGCATAAATATATTAAAATAGTTTAGTAATGTAAAAATATTTTACAACACGTTTTTACCTCCATATCGGTGATAACGTTTCCAAGTCATTGTGTGGCCTTGAGTGGTAACCAAATCTTCACGTTGTTCTTTAGACATCTTTGGATTTTGATAAGAGATCGTCTTCTGTTAATTAAAGAAAGCGTATTTCCTTGATTTTTACTGACCGTACTCAATTTAAACTTGCATTTTAGTTATGTCTATTAATCATGTCTACAACCAGCAAGATTTCTCTTTTCTCATATACTGACCATCAACGTTTAAATAACGATTAATACATGCAACGAAAACCTTTGATCCAACATTTTAATATAACAGGTGATACTTTATCCGTTACTTTCATGTTGCTTTTTGTATTTGAGTGTAAGAAATCATTGAAAAGGTCATAAGTAAAGCGTGTCAGCATTAGATATGGACATCAGCTATTATCGGAATTTTCTTCCGATTGCAAGTATTATATAAATAATAAGAGACCAATTTTGTACAAATTAGTAAAGTATAATTACGATGTCATTGAGTGTTTTCTATCATTAATAATATTGAAATTTTCTATGCAGGTGTCCTCGAACGTTTTGGTCAGACTTTGAAATTTTATAGAAAATTTAATTTTAAACAAAAAATTTTCTGTAAACATGAGTTTTTTATATAGAATTAAATTTCCTATAAAGTTTCAAAGTCTGGCCACAAAACGTTTGGAAACACCTTGTATGTATTTTTATGAATAAGAAGGTTAATTTTTCATGTACTTTTATGTACTTTTTGCGCAAAAGTTCTGTAGCGTTTTTACCTGGATATCTGATATTAATACTTTAAAGTCAATTTTCTTATCCCGTAAATAATCCTTAACGTCATTTACAAGATCTGGTGCCACAATCATGTCGGAAGTCCTATAAAAGGAAGTATAAATATAGAAATATATTGGATAATTAATTATTATAATAAAAATGTATACGAACCTATTAGGATTTGGAAAGGACCAAAATTTAATATCTTCAGGCTCGGCGTCTCTT